GAAAACTCAGGCTATGTCAGAGCCAAGGAGCGAGGGTCCATCACCCCCTTTTGCTGCAGCCCCCCAAGTCCTTCTTTTGGGGGGCCTCCCAAAGTGATCGTGCCTGGCTTAGGTCGTTCTCCCCGTGGGGGAATCTTACCCGTCTTTGGCTAACCGACCAAGCTTTTTGGGGTTCAGCAGCAGAAGCAGCATTCCTGCCAGGGAGATAAGCTTTTGTCTCCTTGCTGGCTCACGGTTCCAAGGGTGTTCCCTTAGCCTTAGCTAGGCGGGGGTTTCAGCCTCTGATACCAGTCAGGGCGGTTCCCAACAGAAAACAAAGGTGGTAGTACTCCAAGCTGATCACTTCCTATTTGTTTTTCACTGCCGTTTACTACTCTCTGTGCCCTGGAGGCCACCTGCGTATTGTGGCAGTGTGGACACTGAGTAAGGGTTCTCACTGGGCATCTCTTCCCAGCCCTGCATCAGTGACATCATGTCAGTAGGTGGAGGCTGCCCACTGTGCCAGTGTGGGTGCAAGGGTTGGCACCATAGAAATTAGCAAAATGTTACGAATCAAGGCTTGCTTTATTGTTTGGTTGATGGTCTAGAATAGGTCTAAGAAAGTGATGGAGAAAATGCTAACGCATTAAACTTGAGTGTATGCGGGTAGCTGTTACACTGTAAATAGTCGAGAAACTGAAAATGTATTCCTTCAGTGTCTGAAATGTTATCTGATGTACAAAGAATTCACATATATCATGAATAAATAACTGAAGTTTGGACATAGTCTGTGTTGTTTGACTTTTGTCTTACTCCCCAACAAAAACATCAATTAACATTTATGCAGGAACTACCCTTATTTATCGGCTGCAACTGTGTCTGGCCACAAACACACAGACTCAACAAAGCTGACCACAGGCCTCTGTGAGAATCGATTGGCTCTATGGAATTCACAGTCGCGAGTGCTTCATTTTTTAATCTGTCAGCTGTGTATCACACCTCCCCTACATCCGTAAGTGCATAGCAAACCCATATATAAGCACATCACACACACACACACACACACACACACACGTGCTCTTATCCCTGGTGCTGGTTGCTGACATGCACTAACACGCCACTGCTCACACCAGTGCAGTGTGACTCCAGACTTCCAGGGCAGTGGCTTCCACACCTTTCCTAACGGCAGCCCACTTTGACAAGCTACACACCTCTGGGCCTACCTACCTCAGTTAGTTTGCATAGGGCGCAGAAGAAGAGTTCCTCAAATACATTCAGCAGAACTAGGCATGTTTTAAATTCAGCAGGAGGGGCATGGGTTCACCTTTGAACCTCAGTGCATTTCTGTGTGAACGTGTAGTCACTGGGGAAGTGCAGGCAGGTGCTGGGCTGATCCAATGACCCACAACGAACTAAATGGACAGTAACAAAGCTAAACCAACAGTAAGTTATAATTTAAAAGCAAGAAAGGCAGCAGTTATGAAAAGCATGACCGACTCGGGACAGCACTGATGACAGAGTGTTCCTCCCTGAGCTGCACAAGCCAACCCTGTTCAGCAGTCAGACCTCCAGGGACTGACGTGGAACTCTTAGTATATTCTAGCCCTGTGCTAAGTTTAGCTCATAAATAATACATCGTGCCAACTCCTAAGGACTCAGTTCTTGGGTCACAAATAATTAGGCATTAGTTGTCTATAAAAACGAAAGTGTCTGGAACTGCCTGTCATTTTAGAACAGAAGGAAGGACCTGTTCAGCACAGGTGGGCTGCGCATCCACGTACGCCCACGCATCACAGGCTCTCAGGAATTCTGTGGTATCCCTAACGTTTCACACATAAATGCCCTCTGCACCCAATTTGGCTCAGACTTTGGAGTCCTGTGCTAAATAAGGTCCTTGCTCGTAGTTAGGGCAACCAGGGTGGCATCTTTGTGGAAGCACAAATCCTTCAGGTGATCAATCAGTCAGTGGTGCCGGGCCAAGTCAATCACAGAGTTTCTGCGGTTAGCACGAGGCTGCACTTTCTCCAGGCCTGGGGAGGGCTTCCCTAGCTCTTGGTCTCTACAGAGGCCCATCTCCGTCCCAGGCCGGAGGGGACTTGGCCGGACAGCCCTCTATCATCCCAACGAGGCCCAGTGGCTGGTTATCTCTGCTCGGGAAGTCCTGGGTCTGCTTCGTGTGCACTTTAAAGAGCTTATCTTTCTGTTTATTTGTCTCTCCTGATCGAAACAGCATTGGCCGGGTGACAGACTGGCACCCGGAACTGCCCCAGCAGCCGGACCTCCTCAGCTTTGGTTTAGAGTTGATTTTGGGGTTAAAGTTTACATGTTTTGAGAAAGGTAGTAAAACATTAATGACGGCTAAAGTTCCTTCTCTCTCGCCCATAAGGTAACTGGGTAATCCTGTTTGCTCTACAGAGTGAGCCGTGTCTGCTGAGGGTAATCTGAAATGAGCAGCACAGACAACATCCTTGACTTCCTCCTGCCTCTGTGCCGCTGCGTGGGGTGGGTGTTACAAGGTGCTGTCAGGCAGCCAGAAACAGCCTTGTCCTGACCGAGATCCACTCTTAATCAAATCCCCCAGTGGGGCAAGTGCTACATATTTTGTGAGAATCGCTGGGTTAGAAACTCGAGTACCTAAGACGCTGGGAACCACACAGACTCTCAGAGCCAGAACCTCGTCTGCAGACGTGCCACCTGATGCAGGCACAGCAGTGTGCCTCGGCCCACAGTGAACTGGGGAGCCAGGGAGTCTGACTGACTTTCATCACTGGAGGCTCTGATTGTATTACCATCTCTGGCCCCCAGAGTCCTGGATGACCTTGGCCCGTGCTTCAGATGCTACACCTAGAATGCGATATGCTTCTTTGTTCACTGCCTGCTTCCACTGGAACAGAGGCTCCATGAGAACAGGGCTACTGGCCCAGAGCAGGCACTCCGTAGCTGTTAAACAAACAAATGAATCCTGTTTCACACTTTTTCCCATTGCCTTTGTGGCACTTACCACTTCCCTGGGGAGACGTGGGTGTTACGTGGCACATGTGGAGCAATGAGGCGACAGGGTAAGACGGGCAGAGCCAGGAGCTGAACCATGGGCAAGACCAGCACTCTGTGGCAGGAAGTCAGCAGGCGCTGGGCCCGTGTGGGCCAAGGGCTGAGGTTGGGCAGGCGCCTCTGTGTCTGCCGGGCAAAGGTCAGATTGGCATGGACAGCAGCGGGGCAGGAGGGTGGGGCCGGGTGAGTGTGGAGGATACGGGCATGGGGAAAACTACCTGTTTTAAAAATCTAACTGAATTCTGTTTTAGCTGACTTCAAAGGCATGGCCAAAGCCATTTGTAGCAGATTATCCCCCAGTGGGGGTTAGGGATGTTCCTCAGTGTTTCTTATCCTGTGGTCTTGAGTCTAAACTTTCCTGAACACAGCCCAGAGGTCTCTTCCTCCCAGCTTGGGGCAGGTGGCTGAGAAGTGGCCCAAATCAGAGGGAAACATGTACTGGTGACTCCTGACCATTCTCTGGGTAGTGAGAAAAACCCTCATCAGTCGTCTTGTTTCCTAAAAAGTCTCTTGCAGTAGGTGCCCAGGACAAGAGCACCCCTGAGCTCAAGTGGGAGGTGACCTGCTCACTTGAGGGCTGAAGGTAATGTCATCAGCCACAGGGGAGGTGACTTGATGAAGCTCTTTGTTACTGTCCAGGCTGCTTAGAACAGTCCTACAGGTGCAGTCGATGTCAGTGCTTCGACTACCAGGTGTTCAGGTGCAGGTGCTTGGCAATCCCCACTCAAGTCTGTCGTATGTGTCCCTAGGTGGGGGTGGGGTGCACTCAATGTGCTCCCACAGACAGCAGTGTGTGGCTGCTGTTTGCAATGTGAGAAAAGGCTTGCCTGACTGACCAAAGAGAGAGGTGCACAAGTCCTTCAGGATGCAAAGGGATGCTCCAGGCCTGTGTCATCTCTGACAGACGAGGGCCCTGCCTCACGGACAGCGTGGCTGCACAGCCCTGGCAGCCGTGATGAGCCCTCTGACCAGACTCACTTTCCAACAGTACAAAAATCCAAACCATGTAATGGAAGCAAATAATAAATCTCTCAGGATCATGATTCCCCAATTTGGCTGTTTACTTTAATCAAATCACAAACAAATGATCAAATTTGGATTTGATTATGTGCCTATAAAGATAACTAAGGAGACAACATAAGTCGCCGTCCATCAAACTCTTCTCAGACAATGGCTGGCATTACCACACGCCAATTACGTTTTTATCAGGCAGTTAAATTAATTACCTGTGGTAAATGTGTTCATGGGACCAGTGGAGACGGCTGTCAACATTTGCTGGCCACTTTAAAGTTCTGCCGGAGGACAGGAGGAACAAGATACAAAGTATGCAGGTGTGTTTGCACCTGTAGCGTCATATAAAAGCCCACCCAGTTTTTTAGGCTGAAACCTGTGCATCTTTTTTCCACCACAAGATGGCTCTGCACGGTTTCTTCTTGGAAGCAAGGTGGGGTCCAGGGCAAATTTGTGTTTGTGAAGCACCACAAGCCTGGGCGAGGCTAAGGGCGAGGGGGTCAGTTTGTAGCACGGACTTGAGGCCCTCTTCCTTGCAGACTGAAACCCTCAGTGCCTTCAGCCACCCCCTGTGCCAGGTGACTGCAGCCTCTGGTGCCTGCCCCCTGCCAGGGCCGCCGAGAGCTGAGAGCAGCCAGTTTCATTCACTGAGGAAAACCACGGGCTGACTCAGTGTCAGTTTCATGCTGTGTCAGTCTCCAAATGAGGGTGCTGCCCTGCCTGAAATTCTCCCCCACGTGCAGCAGTGGCAACTCTTCACTGGGTTTTTAATACACAACTTAGTCCCTTTGGCTTTTTGTATTGGTAACCCCTTTACCAACTCCCCAAACTGGTATAATTCAAAACTTGGTGTGGCTCAGTGGTTGAGTCCCAGCCTGTGAATCAAAGAGTCTCCGGTTTGATTCCCAGTCAGGGCACATGCCTGGGTTGCAGGCCAGGTTCCCACAATCTGCAGGGGATGCATGAGAGGCAACCACACGTGGATGTTTCTCTTCCTCTCCTTCTTCCTTCCCCTCTCTAAAAAGAAATAAATAAAATGTTAAAAGAAAAAACCTTGTCCTCCATTAGGAATGATAGACACATTCACATTTCTTCCCGCACCATTCCTAGGCAGTACCAGCTGCAGTTAATCCCTGTTTTTAGGAAAATTATGTGTTTATCTCATTATCTCCAAAGCATTTTTTCTACCAGACTAAAAGCCTACAGAATAGTTTCACTGCCTTTGACTGTTCTGATTGCTTACCATATATTGACTTACTTAATTCTCCTTTCCACTTGACTCTGCTAAATCAGCTGCTATTCAAATTCCTGCTTTCTAAAATCCAAACTTGTGTTCGGGTACAGTTTGAACAAGTTGTCTCCTGCTCTTTTCTCCTTCTGGGATAATATGCTTTTTGGGAAAACCTCCTTTCTGTCATTTTATCAGGGTTTCAGAAGGAAGCAGTCACTGCTTGTGTTCAAGTCACCAACTCAGTAAGAGCACTGACGGGAGCCCTTGCACAGAACAGCTCATTCACTCATTGTGTTACCTTTTACTGTGCCCTCGTTGTTCAGGCGAGGGAACGGAGGTGCAGAGGAATCGACCGCACAGCTAGAAGGTCAATAAGAATCCAGTCCCTGATCCCTTTCTTCGTCATCCACAAGGTCACGTCACCCTCCCCTGTTCCCAGGCCCACCTCTTCCTTCTTTCTCCTTTTTGTCTTGGTGGGGCAATCTGTAGCTTCCTGAGAAAGAGTACAGGGAAGTAAAGTTTCGGGGAACTTGTACATCTAAAAATATCTTTTGTCTATCCTCCTACTTAATTGATTGTTTGGCTGAATATGGAATTCTAAGTTTAAAATATTTTCCCTCAGGATTTTAACCCCATGGCTAAAATAAAGATTTTCAAGAAGGAAAGAGAAATCACAGTTTATCACATGGAGCAGACGTTAGTTAATAGCATTGATATAATCATGTTAGTAAGAATATGGAAGCCTGACTTAACTAAAATTATGGCATAATCCCTCAGGATAAGGAGCCGATTGAGCGTGTAGACTCTGAAGCCAGAGTGCTGGCGGCAAACCTGCCCCCCCTTCCCCTCCCTCCCGGTATGTTTATAAGCTGTGGGGCAGGGACACAGGCTTTACCCTTCTGACTCAATTTCCTTATCTGTAAAATTGGGCTATAAGAGAACCCAGGGTTTGGGGGAGTAATAAATAAATTAATACATGTGAAATGCTTACAGTAATGCCTGCTGTGTAGTCAGCTCCATATAAGAGTAACCTAGTGTTGTTATTTTATAAACATTTAGGAGAATGGAATGAGAAGTGTGTGTGTGTGTGTGTGTGTGTGTGTGTGTGTCTTAATCTTCATCTTCCGTAGGGAAAAATCAATCGAAAATGCCTAAAATGGAAAAATCAGAAGCAACACTATGCTATTTAGAGAGGTAAAGGAACATACCGAAAAATGGAAGCAAAGATGAACATACAGTGGTAGCTCCTGGAGAACAGGAAATTGGAGGGAGCCTGGGATGGGGGCAGGGGTGGGCAGAGGCAGGTAGTTTTTCACAATAAGCCTTAGAAAGTGATGTGACTCCCAGTGCCCCGGGAGTGACCGTGAGACAAGGAGTTGTGTGCAGGACTTATCAAGTGCTTCCAGAGGAAGGAGAGGACGGGGGTGCGAGCCAGGGCAGGAGAGGCACAGCCTGGGCTAAGGGTCAGGTGCTTCCCACCCACAGGTGGAGGAGGCTTCCCGCAGCCCCAGGATGTGCATCTGGGGACAGTCCTGGCACTGGCACCCAGAAGGCTGGCATAGGCCTCAGAAGTGTGCAGAAATACGGGTGGTGGCCTTTAAAGAGCTAACGGTCTCAAAAATATAGTTTAAAACTCCCCAATTTGTGTCTCCAGCACTGTTCTCCACTGTGTCCACCTGTCTCGGCTGCTCCTCATCTTAGTTATGGGGTGGCTCTCGCCCTGAATCCTTGTTTTGTAAAAAGCTTTGATAAATATTTTTGGGTGAATGGATATTGCAGAGGATATGTGAAGTTTCCGTGTTACCACTCTGTGCTGCGAGATAAGCGGAACAAGTGACTTTCTAGTCTCAAGAAGCAGGCAGGTTTCACTCTAAAATGTAGTTGGTAAATAAACACCTCCACATGCTAGTAAAGGGACTCCTCAGTAGGGCTGTGTAGAACCCACAGATGTGGGGACAAGAAGGGTCATTGAGGGCTTGAGCCTTAGGGACCAATGCGCAGGTGTGTAGCTGTTAGCGGATGCAGAATGTCTTGTGCAAGGACACGGGCAGAAATTCCTTACCTGTGAGGAGGAAGAATAATGCCTTCCTTATAAACTTAATGGGAGGATGAAATGAGATGGTGCCTTTAAAGTACTTTGTATAGAAATTAGCCAAGAATCAACCTAAAATAATCCAGAAGAAGAGCGGTGTGTGTGTGTGTGTGGGGGGGGGCGTATTTCAAAGCCATTCATAGGATACAGGAAACTTGTGAAGCATGAAAGAAATTATAAAAACTCATTGACATGCCAGAAAGCAGTAATTAAGTCTTCTGTTCAAGCCAAAAATTAGTATTTCTTGTGAAATGTTATCTGGGCCAGTAAATGTTTTGCCAAGAGAAATGCTGTGAAAATGTCCACTATTGATTCTGCTGCTTCATTAGCAATGCTGGAAAAGGTACCGATTCAGTCAAGAAACACGAATTGGCACCTGCCGCGTGGCAGGTTCTGTGCTAGGTGCTGGGGCTACAGTGGTGACTAGCAGGCGGGAAGCCCACCCTCCAGAGCGTGCAAAGGGCTGCTGGGGAAGACTGGTGAGACAACTGTGGTAAAGCATGTGGAGTGCTGTGAGGAGGGAAATGCAGAGTACTGTGGGGTACGCAGCTGGCCACTTGGCCAGTAAGAATGTGCCTGTCAAGCTCTTGGAGGAATTTACCCCTAAGCTGTCACCTGATGAGTTGACATTGGCTGCTCCTGAGGAACAGGAGGGTGCGAGGAGAGAGTGATACCAACCAGGTGAAGAGGATGTGGGAGGTCTAAAGGGGAGTTAGAGATGGCAGGTGTGAGCTGTGAGAGGGCTCAGAAGTGGGAAGACAGGCTGGAGGTAATGCTGGCTCCTTTGAGGTCTTGCAAGGGCACCTGTAAGGAGTTGGGGTTTTATCCCAAAGGCTATGGGAGACCCCTGAAATCGCTGCCTTTGGGAAGGAGCCCTCAGCCATAGTGTGGAGAAAGGATTTTGGAGTGTGAGCCTGGAAAGGATTTTGGAGAGTTGCGGCATGCACCTGAAGATCAGGTGAGATGCTGGCACACTGGATAAAGATGGCAGCAGGGGAGCTAAAGAGGGGCAGGTGGATTCTACCCCTAAAGTAAAGCAAGAAGCCACCCATACAGGCGGCAAGGACTCCCTGGAGATGCCTGCTTACCTCTTTCAAGGGCATCTTTGGTGGCTGGCAGAGGAAATGACCAAACACAAAAGTCTTGGCTGGCTGTGGATGGAAAAAGTACATTCCAGCATCTGGCTGCAAGGGTAACCACAGAGCAATTATGCCTTGCTCACTAGATGGAATCCCACTATTTCAGAATAAAATGGCTTTGAAGTGGATGTGAGTGATTAAGCATAGGTCTGTGGTGGTACCCTCAGGCCATTACAACCACAGGAAAATGTGATAATCAGACCTAAGCAAAGGGAGGGCTAATTAGAGCAGCCAGGCTGGAAATGCACAATGAGTGGAAAACCAAGAAGATAAATGGTAGTGGGACTGAGCACTGTCCACTGGATAGTTCCAAAGGTCCACGTGGGGGACATTCAAAGAACAGATGCTGAGAGGGTGAGAAATCTGTCAACAGTACAGCTGGGAGCAAGGACAGAGATACAGGTGACAGCGTGGGGGACCTCTCCTGACTGAGCAGTGAGACAGTCAGTGGCTCTTGGGGGCTCCATGAAGGATGCCTGCATGGGTTTCATTGAGAATGTGGCTGAGGGCTGGAATCTCTGTTGCTCAATCCTGAGGCTCAGCAGAAGGAACTTTTCTTAACGTGGCTTTCCAGCCTCCTTCAGGCTGCCCACGACCAATGTAACAGTGCTCATTCACCCACTTTTTGTTTGAGCTGTTTGAGCCGACATTTGAGAACTTAGCGTCAGTAACAGTGTACAGATGTGTAGCACTTCATGGATGGTGAAGGGGTCTACACAGGTCATGGTAACCATGGTGACGAGAGCTGACATCCCCTGAGCCATTCCTCTGAGTCACCCATTTTGCTATGTACTTTGCATATATTTTCTTGTTTAATTCTCACAACCTGTGAGGTAGGTACTATTGTCCTCAGTTGACCCATGATGAAACTGAAGCATAAAGAGGTTAATAGCTGAGTTCTTACGTGATGCCCACAGCAACTCCCGGAGTCTCCTTTGTTTTATAAATGAGGCAAAGATGGTTGGGAAGAGTTGCCCGAAGTCATACTGAAGTAGTTAGTGGCAACTGGGACCCAATCCAAAGGCCTTTCTTGCACACCCACAAAAGAAGAACAAATGGTTCTGTTTCTTTAAGTTACAGGTGTGTTTCATAGACGATGTCCTGGTTCCCTGCCAAGCCACAGGGACGATGGCCTTAGCCGACCGCCTGGGCTGTGCTGGACACATCTGGGAGAAGTAAGCCTTGGAGGATTAGAGTAAAATTGGAATTAAAGGAACTACACACTGAAGATCTTCCAGGGCAGTCCACACTCAAGCTATCATGCCCAATTATCACAGTAACTACATTCAATCTGGTCACACTATGAATCTGGTTTTTGGTTAAAAGAAGCTTATATAATGGCTGGATGCTGAGTCAGAGTCCCCCTCCTCTCAGAACTCTTTGTGTTCAGATGCTCTCTTGTTAGTCTGAGGTCAAGACCACGGGGTCAGGAATTTCTTTGTGTGATGAAAGACTTTCACTCTTTGTATTGGTTATACTGTATGCCAAATTACCAGACTTGGTGGCTTAAACCAACACACATTTATTATCTCATAATTTCTGTGGATCAGGAATCTGGGCACAGCTCAACTGGCTTCTCTGCTTGAGAGTCTCTCCCACACTGCAGTGAAGGAGACAATCAGCAAGGGCTGGGGTATGATCTGAAGGCTCCAGTAAAGAAGAATCTGCCTCTCAGCCACATATTTGTTGGCAGGATTCAGGTCCTATTCAGAAGTATCAATGAAGAGAGTGTATCCATTAGCTATTGCTATATAATTGCTGCATAACAAAGCATCCCACAATTCAGTGGCTTCCTATTGTTTATGGTCATGGATGTGTGGATTGGCTGAATGTCAGATGGTGGCAGGCCGATCTGTGCTGGGCTTTCCTGGGGTGACTTGGTTTTTCTTCATGTCTGTCTTCTTCAGGGGAGAAGCTAAAGCAGAGATGTCCTCCTTGTGGCAGTGGCAGAGGCACAAGAGAGCAACACACAGGTTCTCTGGAGGCCTAGCTGTCACTTCCAACTTACAGGGCCAAAGTAAGTCACACAGCTGAGCTGAGAGCCAAGGAGAGAGAAAATATCTCCAGCCTTCTTTATGGAAGGAAAGAAGTCACGTGGAAAAGGGCAGGCGCAAAGCTGAGGCAAGTAGACACAATCTTCTTGCTAGAACAGGCTCACCAGAGTTCTGTCTAGGTTAGCCCACAAGACGCACAGTCTTGTCCCTTCCGGGATGAAGCTGTTTGGGCTTGGGGAAGAACCCGAATCCCAGATGGGCCAAAGACTTTTTCAGGAGTCATTAGCCATGGCGCATTAAGGAGCTAGATTATATAAGATCCAGGCTGCTTGGGTTGAGCCAAAACTCTTAGAAAACCACAGTCACAGGGGCAGAAACTGAGTCTTATAGAAGAAGACAAGCAGGCCTGAAGCCTGGGAGAGAGGGGAAAGGAGGACAGGAAGGGATGAGAAATGGGTAGAAAGAGCTCAAACATCTTTGCAGGTGTTTAACTTATAAGGAAGAGACTATTATCAGCTTCTTGACTGCATTTAATTATAAAAATTAACATGTATTGTGGGGCAACTTCAGTTTTAAATGATGGTATTGTTCTTTTGTTCCTACACACACCCACAAAAATATTCTTTACATTTAGAAAGAAGAAAAAGGAGTATTTTAGCTAAGCTTCCTGATATTTGCATATTGTCATCCTATGGATAGCTGCACAGATGGCATTAATGGACATATAACAATGAGATAACACTTTTGATTATAAAAATCATATTCTTCCTATGAATCAAGTCCATATTATATGTACATATATGTGACATTATATCATAATATATCTCTCATAATATATATGAGATATATGACCTTTTAAACAGAGATAAATTCTGAGATTGTGTAACTGTAACGAACATAAAAATTGGGTTCTCCTGAAAAAAAAAATCCAGCTCCAATCACTTACCATATAAGACACCATCTAATTGTTTGGCGATAATTAAAAGCTTTGAGAAACACCTCCCCAGTCATCCTTTCATTTTCAAGGTGCTCTTATTCATTGATCATTCTGTTAACATTTGACACCACTGATAATCCTCCTTTGGGGAATCTTTTTCTTTGGATTTTCTGCTCCTATTACCTCTGGTATGTCTTGGACAATTCTTCTCTTGAATCCAGATTTTCTTCTTCCCCAGATGGGTTCCCAATGGTCCTGGGTTGGAGCGTCAGGAACTACATCCTGGGGAAGAATGTGCCTACGTATGGGGTCTTTTCCAACTGCCCCAATGATTGTGAAGGGACACTGGCATTCAATGAGAGAAAGGTAGAAGGAGGGGATAAATAGAACAGTTCCAAATGACAAGGACTCGTTAAAAAACAAATAATAAAGACGAAGAGACTGAGGCTCAGGAGTGGATATGATGTAAGGATCCAGGTCAGGACTGACTGCTCTTGTTCTCTGCAGGAACCCGTTCATCATATTCAGACAAGGCTTGCTTAATGATTTGCAATGATGTAGGCTGTGAAACAGACAAATGTGGCAGAACTCAGACCACCCATCATGTCATTCTCATCCAAGGACATCCTTTAAACATGTGGCTTTATAAATAAAGATACATACAACACTCATCCAAGACTCTAAACAGTGTTTTCAAATTTCCATGTCCGTCAAATCACCTGCAGATCTTTTTGACTTAAGTAGGTCTGAGGTTGGGATTTGTAACGATGCTGCTGGTCCACAGAGCACACTTGAGCAGCAAAACTTTAAGGAAGTGGTTCCCAAACTTTTCTCTGCTTGGAGTCACCCAGGGAATTTCCAAACTACTGATTTCTGTTTCCCACACACAGAATTTGTAATTTAATTGGTCCAGGGTAAGCTCTGAGCTTGAGTTTTAAAAGATCTCCACGTGGTTCTTACCTGCAGCTAAGTTTAGGAAGCGCTGTTCTGGGTGGGGCTTGAGGAGGATGTAAGCACATGGCGCGCAAGGAAATGAATCCGTAAAGAAGACAAACTATAACGTCATAAGAACAGGATAGCTTAAATTTTGCAAGGTTAGTACTTTAAATAGGATGGTGACGGATAGGAAACGTCACATTTAATCAGTGTCTCGGGATATGTTTGAGGCCCAAGGCTCTTTTTGCTGTGGAGGAGGTAGCCAAAGCCCCTCAACCGTAGCGGGAAGGACATAGACCCAAGAAGAAGGGAGGTGGGGGGCGGTCTTAGTCTCAGGGCCTAAGAGCACGCACGAACGCCGCGCTGAAGGGGCGTGGCCTGCTGTACGCGCGCAGGCGCACAAGTTCCGCCCCTTGGGGGTCGGGGAAAGGCCGCAATCCCGGAAGTGCGCCGAGTTGGGTGTTGGGTCTATTCGGAGCGGAGGACTGTAGTTCCTTGTACGCGGCTCGGCACGTGGCCTGGCGCCTGGCCCCGGCCGCCCTGGAGCCGCCGGGCTCGGTCGCCGAGGCGGTGTCGTCCCTGACCATTTTCGACGCGTTCGTGAGAGCAGGCAGGAGCCCCGCCCCGCTGCTCCCGGTGCATCCTAGGAGGTTCATCTGCTCCTTCCCGAACTGCAGCGCCAATTACAACAAGGCCTGGAAGTTAGATGCTCACCTGTGCAAGCACACGGGGGAGGTAAAGAGCCTGAAGGCATGGCCACGGAAGGCCCTGGCGACTGGGCCCTGGGTCTAGTGGTGGTTGAGCTGCCTGTGTGCTCCGCCCGGGAGTTCTGGGAACAGCGCGTGGGTGTGCAGGGTTGCATGCCTGGCTTTGCAAAACACGTTCACCTTTGGTACCGTGGACCACTCTAGTGAACCAGCCATGATTAGTGAACCATGCCTTAGGTTAGGAAAGTTGCTGAGGGGTAGACGAGAAGTTCTAGGACCGAGGTATCCTTGTCCACGGGTTCAGGGTTTACTGAGCGGCCTTTCCCTTTCTTTCATCTTGAGTCTTGGCCAATCACTACCTCCAGGTAATCTGTAAATAGGTGCACAATTTCAAGTCCCCACTCGAGCAGACACCTGCGTAAAGCACCTCTCTCCCAGAACTTGTGTGTAGAATGACTTACGGTACTGGAGGTTTTGCAAGCAGCATGCATTCATTCTTTCAAAACTCAGTATCATTCCTGCCGTGGAGAGAGCAGTGAGCAAAACAGGCAAGGCCTCTGTTGCCAAGTCCTCTGTTGCCAAGGCTCTCTCTTTGCACAAGAGAGAGCCAGTGGGCCTTTGGGGGTGGGGTGGGTGGGGCAAGCCAGTGTTAGTGGATGGGACCCATATGAGAGAACCTCTGAGAAGCAGGTCTAGTGGGATCATTTGTAGGCCAGGACACAAAAGGGTTTGGAGTGTGGGTTTTCCTTTGAGAGAAGACAGTTGAGGGAAGGGAGGCTCATGGAAGCCAAAGAATCTGCCCAATTTCCTACTTTTGGGAGGAGACTGGCTTCACATTGCCTTAGTGAAAGACCCGTAATTTAAGTTAGAGACCCGCAGTTGGTGCCTTTGCCACTAACACCTACGTAACTCGAGGTCACTCCTCCATGTGGCCTTAATGACACCCATTCTCCTTTCCCTCTCCAGCATTTAAAGGCTGACCATTTCCTTTTCAGAATCTTTTCCAGCTCTTTTTCTCTTCCTCATTGGCCAATTTCACTAATTTATTATCTTCTGCCCTCTACTTTTTCCCAGTTCTTTTGGCAAGCCTACCTGGTAACTGGGTTCACTCATAACATCCATAACCTTTCGCCTCCTGTCTTTCCTTTTACCCCCTAGCCCCCAAATTCTGAGCTCTGTAACCAGTATGTCCAAATTAGTGCTTACCTTTAATTTTAGACATGCATATAGTGCTACCAGCTTCCTTCATGTGGGCTAGAAAACATGAAGGCACCTTTGTTGTCCCAAATCTCACATTAATTTGACAAATGTTGATTGAGCCTACTCCACGGTGGGAGCTGTGCAAAGTCTGTGGATCTGCCCCTAGTAATACAGCTCATCTGTCTTCCTCTCCATATGCTTGGCTACCAGTACTGTCATTTGAGGCTTGTTATCTCCCTCCTGGATTATCATGGTTCATTTTTCATATTAAATACACAAAACTGGTTACTTGGAGGATGTGTTTTGGCTTTTCCTTTTTGGCTCAGGATTGAGTCCCCTCCTCTCAACCACTAGGTCCCTAGGGGTGGTTGTGGTTAGGGCTGTGAGCTTTGCTTTGCCCTGGCACCTATGAACTTTTTCAGGTGTGACACGTTTTCTTGTAGCTGTGCCAGCCATTCTCTCAGCACAGACACTTAGCTTGTTCAGGATGCGGCTGAACCTGCACATTCTTCTTCTCTAGGGTTTGGATGGATACACACATGCTGTGGTAGAGATCTGTACTTATAGGCCATGTGAATAGGCAAGTAATGTTTAAGACGGGGCTTGTACCTGAAGCCAGGTGTCAGGTTAGGAGCAGGTTAACCAACTGTGAAGGCTGCCCACTTATTGCATATGCTATTCATTGAGCAAAGTCTGCTGCAGTGACTTTGTTGAGAAGTTGTGGCACCGATGCATAACTTCATGCAGGACAGCCTTGTCTGGCCTTGGTGTAGCGGGTGCTCAACTCTTAGTGGAAACCATCTCTGGAGACAGAGCCCATGGCCTTGCCTACTGGACATTTGAGGCCTTTAAATAATATCAGAGTTACTAATGTGGGCAGAAGTGACATGTTTTTTTTCTTTCCTTCCTGCTAGAGACCGTTCGTTTGTGACCACGAAGGGTGTGGCAAAGCCTTTGTCAGAGACTACCACCTGAGCCGACATGCCCTGCTTCACACTGGAGAAAAGCCCTTTGTGTAAGTTAGAGAACTGGGATTAGGCCTCTGAACCGGTTGTGTGGCACACTGACCTGGTAAGAAAACTGACTGATTATTACCTCAAGACCAAGAGAATATGAAGCTTCATTTGCATCTCCTAACACTTGAGGAATAAGTTACTCTGAAGTTCTTTTGCATTTTCATCTCTTCGTCTCCTTTTGAACTATACACTAAGTGGGAAATCAGCCTTGAGACAAACACAGTTTAGACCAGGTGAAAATGATTCTTTGTCAGGTTCTTGGCTCCCCATCGTCAGGGTCTTTCTGAACTGATAAGCTGCTGGGATAAGAGATAAAAGCAGAGAGAAAGTCGAGTTTTGTGTGTGTGTGATTTTTTTAATCCTCACCTTAGGACATTTTTTCATTGCTTTTAGAGAGAAAGGAAGGTAGAGAGATAGAAATAATGATTGGTGGATGCCTTCTCCTAGGGACCCTGACCTGGGATCGAACCCAAAACCTGGGTATGTGCCCTGACTAGGAATCAAACCCATGATCTTTTGGTGTACAGGACGGCACTCCAACCAACTGAGCCATACTGGCCAGGGCAGAAGTTGAACTTTTAACAGTTTATCTTGTATTTCTTTGGATTAAGCCCCTGTACCTCTGCCATCCCAATTTTAGTATTCTTCTCGGAGTTATTGTTTATTTATCTGAAATGGTGGAGATACAGCTTTTCTTTTAAATCCACTACTTTAAAACACAGTGGACCCCAGATTGAGGATGCATCAGAATCACCTGGAGACTTGTTATACAGCTGGCTGGACCCCACTCTCAGAGCAGCGGGGCCTGAGCATTTGCATTTCTAGCAATTCCTGGGAGATGTTGATGCTGATGGTCAGGCATCACTAAATGTTTAGTGGTTTAGAACCACTAAACAGAATGTTCCAGGAAAACATTAAGTTTTCCTTGGGGGGAAAAAGTAAATAAATCTAGTAGATGTCCAGAACTTTGTGCAGGAGATTGTATTAGGAAATAGCTGTATGGCAGGTTTTGCGGATGTTAGGATTTAAGACCATAAGTTTGTCTATGAGACAGTTCCGTGAAAAGTAGTAGGTTTTTAGTGGCCTGAGTTGATTTCTGTTAGTTTTAAGCTGATAAATGTGAATGAAGTGTCCCCTGTTTCCCTAAGGCTCCCACAGTCTGAAGAAGGTGAGCTGTTGACACAGGACAGTCTTCATGGTTCTGTTCCCTGTGGCAGGCTGTGTCATCTCCCCTGACCAGTGTGCCAGCCAGAGGGAAAGGGGCAAAGTACTGAGGATGGTGGATGTTGGTTTCACTCCCCATTCAAGTACACAGTGTGTCTTCAACATCCATGACCCTAAGTGAAGCTTAATTCATTTCAAAATATAGTTCAGCTACACCAGCAAAGTATAACCAAGGTAGTCTGGAAAATGGGGCTGGAATATATTCTTTGACCTAGAAGTTTCACTTTGGGGAATTGATTCTACATATACACTTGTTCCTATACCAAAAGGATTGTGTTACACTTGTTCCTATACCAAAAGGAATCAACCCACGTGCCCATCAGGCGGGTTAGACTGTGTCATCATGGTGGAATACTATACAGCCTTAAAAGTGAATGCATTTGATCTCTGTGAAATGAAGAAAATCTCCAAGGCACACTAAGTAAAAAAACCAATGTTCAAAAGTATATATATATATAAAGGGCTAGTTTTTGTGTATATAATGGGAGGGGGTACAGATGGAGAACATATATTTTTATTTGCTTGTGTATATAGAAGAAGCCCTAGAAGTGACATAAAACTAAAAACTTCATCACCTGTCTTTGGAGTGGTGGGAGCCCTGGTGTGAGCACAGGTAGGGGCAGGGGTGGAAGGAAACATTATGCATTGGATTCCTTTTTTATGCTTTTTGGTTTCTGAACTAAGTTATGGTACACTATTTAAAAATGACAACAGAAAAAATGGATCTGGGTACAGATACACAGGATGCGTGAGGAGAGTTCATTTCCACTGGAACAAGGTGATGTCTTCCAGGTCTGTCTCTAGCCCAGACCCCTCTCTCTTTAGCTCCAGATCCCCATAGCCAGCTGCTGGCTGGCCAGCATTACCCAGCTATCTCTGTGGCTTCTTAAGTTTGCTGACGTCCAGTCTGAGCTTGGCTTTTTCTTTGGCCTCTGCCCACTTGTTTCTGTCAGGCGGCATCACTGTTTATCTGGTGACCCACAACTCCCCTGGACGCCTCGGTCTACTTTCCTCCCCAGCACACAGGTCATTAAGTCCTGTTCTTGGCCCCTTAGGTCTGTCTCTCCTGCTCCAGCTGCTACTGTCTTAGTTCAGGCCCTACTCCTCACTGGAATGGCTGTTTTCTGTGTCTCCGCACTGGCCCTCTCCCACATTATTCTCCAGGTTGGTTTCCCACTTAAAACGGTGCAGTGGTTTTTAAGCATCCTTAACATAATGAGGTCCAGGTTCTTAGTATGTCATATAAATGACCCTTGAGATTCGGCCTTTCATTTGTTTGTTTATCTTGACGCATTTGCTTGAATTTCAGACGTGAAATTGTGGTCCAGTTATGCTTAACTGACCGGCAGTCTCTCCCTGCTCACCCCTGCTAAGTCTGCCAGGGTCTTCAGGGCCCCTGTGCCTGCTATTTGGCTCCTGTCAGGACTTTTGTTGGCTTTGTCCTGCCCCACACCTGTGTCAGGTTAGATGCTTGTGTCTGGATTAGAGTCAAGAGGAACAGAAAACCCAGTTCTATAGAGGTAGTGGCTTTCTCTCTCATAACTGAAATGCAGGAGCAGACAATCAAGGGCCCTTCCATAATCAGGATCTGGGCTCCTTTCAGCTTATCTTTGCCATCCTTACCCTGGGGCTTTAACGTCATGGTCCAGCATGCCTGTTGGAACTCTAAGCTGTCACATAAGCGTGGCAGCCACCAGGATGGAAGAAAGTGCAAAAGAGGAGTGCCCCCTTTTCAGATACTTTGTGGGATGTAAGCGGTGTGGACAAGAACTTCACCATTTGTGTTTGTAATTGCAAGGGAGATGGAAAAAGCTCTTTATGTTGGCTGTGTACCCAGCTGAAACTCAGCATTCTGTTCCTGAGGTCAAGAACACCTGTTGGTCTGGCCAGTGTGGCTCAGTTGTTTGGAGCATAGTCCTGAAGACCAGAAGGTCGCCAGTTTGATTCCCAGTCAGGGTACAATCTTAGGTTGCAGGTTTAATCCCCAATTGGAGTGCGTGTGGGAGGCAGCTGATCGATAGTTCTCTCACATTGATGTTCCTGTCTCTTCCTTCCTCTGTCTCTCTCTATCTCTCTATCTCTCTCTCTCTCTGGAATCAATAAATATATATTAAAAAATTTTTCAAAGAACCTTTTGGAACTTCTAGAGATTTCTGCTCTCCAGAGTGTCTAGAGACAGTGCCCCCCAGCATGCCCCTCCTGTGTGTTTTCAGTGGGCTTCTGGGCATAGCTCCCACCATCAGTGTGCAGTTAGTCTCAGCCTCCCTCTGCCTGGCCCTGCGGACAGCACAGTACCTTCTGGGACTGTCACTCCATGTTTACCAGGGAATGGTGTCTAAGATGAGGGCTTACAAAGGAAGTCCTGCCTCATCCATCAAGCTGATAAAAACTCACCACAGAAAGAGCACATATGTTCAAAACACAGTTTCCTGAAGAATTTAGGTAATTCAAGGCCCAGATATAGAAATGCTTGTTAAGAAAACTTGACCGGTTTGATGATACGCCAAACAGCAGAATGGTTTATGGTCCTGTAAAACCAGTTTGGGTTTTTTTTTGAAGTTTTTTTTGGAAAGGCAGTTTATAGTGACATTCCAAGCAAAACTATAGTTATCAGATTCTAAACTGAGAACATTTTAACTTAAATATGGACTTAAGCCTAAACAGGGTCTGTGGTTTTGGAGCTAGTGTTTTTCACCTCCCCTCCACCTGGTGTGCAAAGGATACCGGATGCCGTGTGGTTGGTTGCAGAAGCCTCACATGAATTGCATCTTGTTACATGCTAATCGCGTCAAAGCAGAGAGGCCTGCTTGGTGTAGCTTACACTTTGGAATTTGTTAAAGACTATTTTATACTATACTTTGGAATAATTAGCTTTTATAAAGTCTTAAAATTTTTCTTCCCTTGGTTTGTTAATATTTGGGTTTATGATTTCTACAGTTGTACAGCGCATGGCTGTGACCAGAAATTCAACACAAAATCAAACTTGAAGAAACATTTTGAACGCAAACATGAAAATCAGCAAAAACAATATGTAGTAAGTGGGAATGATTTCCTATGCTTAAATTCCCTGAATATTTTTATGTGTATTGTCTGTTTCTAAAATTTTCAATATCCAAATTTTGTGTGTCAGATATCTGAATTCAGCCTGACACTATCATAATAATTGTTTTATTTTGAAAGCAAATATTATTGTGCCAACTAAAGTATATTATTGGTAGATTACCACAAATGAAACATTTTGCTCTTTCAAAAATGTTTCTCTTTAAAGTTTCTCAACAAAGAATTTTACAGTAACTAAATGGGTGAAAGTAGCAAGTCTGTAATCTCCACGATATTTTTAGCTTGAGGGGATCGTTATGAACTGGCCTTTGATTTTTCTCATGACTAACAAACCTTCACTGAACAGTGCACCTTTGAAGGCTGTACGAAGACTTTTAAGAAACATCAGCAGCTGAAAATCCATCAGTGCCAGCATACTGATGAACCGCTGTTTAAGTAGGTACTCGGGGGGTGCAGAGCAACATGGCGAATTTCAGGGGGGAATAGACTGAAATGCAATTGGGTACAAATGTTTTGAAACAGTTTATTAATCAACATTTTTCTGTTAACGTGTATAGTGTGTGCCCATTTATAATAGGCCTATTCCAGAAGTTCAGTTTTGCTTTTGTTTCTCTGATATGCTTCAGAATAATTTGTGAGATTAGTACAATTGTAGTTAAGCTTTAAGGGGGGACTGACAAATGACTTAACTATTCGTATAGCCTGTTGAATTACATGACATGTCATCAGGAAGACACTAATTATTCTTGTCCTGTAAAACAACAGCAGTGTGGGCAGGCCTGCATTAGAGAGGGTTCTGTGAGGAGCAGGAAGGAGGGACAGGAGGTGTTAGGCAGAGGGCATCGAGGGCTCCTGACCGCCTGCTCAGATGGCCACTCCTGAAGAGCATGGGTTCTGGGCACCTTCCTCCCACTCACACAGCGATGCCCTCTGCCTGGGAGCTGCTGCCAGGACAGTGCCTGCCGTTGCCTGCAGGTCTGCCTGTTCTCGCGCCGCCGGTGGCATTGACGCGGAAGCAGTCTGCGCATCCTGTTGCTCGTAGGAGGCTGGGGAAGCTGCTGCTGTGTTTTCTTGTCACACCACCCTGGGGTGGCATCATTAGAAAAACTAGACACAAATGATTGGGAATGGTTTAGGTGTTGACCATAACCATCTTTCTTGTAGCCATGAAAACAGTATATTTTCAGAAGAATAATAACAGTGTTTAATTTGATCCCATAAGCAAAAAAAAAAAAAAAAGTCATGTGACTGTTTTCTTCAGTTTGTTTTCCCCCAGTTTGGTCAGGTAACTTGAATTTTATCTAGGATATGGTCTAACTTTTAAATCATTTTTACATGACTGGTTTAGTTGTGGGCAGGGGAGACTGGTAGGAGAATAGGACAAAGTATGCTTTACTCTAAGTGGAGTTCTCTGTGAAAGCGGCCTGGCTGACACTTCGTGTCCTGTTGACCCAGGTGCACCCACGAAGGCTGTGGAAAACACTTTGCTTCACCCAGCAGGCTGAAACGACATGGGAAGGTCCATGAGGGTACGTACTTGGCAGTGCTCACTCCGACTAACACACCAGCCCCAGGGTGTATGTTTCTAAGTCTTTGAAAACTCGGTGCTTTCTACTCTTCTGTGGTCATACTGAGAACTGAGAACGAGGTGGGGGCACCACTCTGCTTGTTCAGGTTCTATACCCCTGACCAAAGAGGTGCTGTCTGTGTGTTCCGTCTGTTCTCCCACCCGCTGGCCCTGTGTTCAACGCCAGAGCCTGGCCGTGCTGTGTGCTTCCGTTGCTTCTTCACGGCATTGGGCAGGCCAGAAAATCCATTCAGTTTTGTCTGTACAGTGGCTCTGGTAGTGCTTACTTATCTTTAACTTCATTTAAAACAATTTGGTTAGATCGTATTGTGACAGCTGTCATACCAGCTTGCATTTAAAAACAATTACCAAAATTGGTGAATTTTTTTGTAGCCCTTTTAATATTGAAGATGAAAGAAAATATGCAACATTGTTGGCATATTATGCTTTGTTAATTCAAGAAAGGTGATAACTCAAAAACTCAAAAAAAAAAGGTGTGTGCAGTATATGGAGAAGGTGCTGTGACTGATTGAACATGTCAAAAGTGGTTTGCAAAGTTTCTTGGTACTGTTGACCTTTTGGCCATATAATTCTTCACTGTGGGGCTGTCTTCTGCATTGGGAGATGTTTAGCAGCACCCCGGCCTCTACCCTCTAGAAGCCAATAGCAGGAAGTAGATGACATACTCAACTATCCAAATCAAGAAAGTTATTGGTAAAAATGAAAAATGTGTTTTTTATTTTACGGGAAAAAAAAGCAAATGAAGTTGTTGGCCAGCCCAATAGTTTTCAGCCTCTTGCACTTACTCCATGTGCCGCTCCTCTCCTGGGGGCGTCTCAAGGGCTTAGTTAATAGAGTAGTTTGGAGTTTTGGGAGCAGTCACATTAACTTTTTTCAAAAAGACTCAACTAAACTAACTACTTGACTCTTCTGTGTTTCCATATAGGATTTTTGATAACTATATCCTAATTTCCCAAGCCCTAGAATTTATAGGGTATTTTTTTTTGTTTTTTTGTTTTTTTTTTAGAAGAGACTAGTAGCTAAGAATGACAGGCAGCCTTTCTTTTGTTTCTATCTGGTATTTTGTTGGGTGAAACTCAGGCTGGCTGTTACATTGACATAATAATCCAATTCTAATGCTTTATGCAATAATAATTTTCGTTCATTTTGTTTTTCTCTGGATTATTCTAGTTTATTTTTTCTTTCTCAGCTGTACCCTGCTTCTTTTTTGTCATATAAAACTTACAAGATGGTAAGGCTGGAGGAAGCCAGCGGGTGGACACATACCTGCTAAGCTCTAGTGTTGATGGTTTGCTAAAGACAAAGGACTAAACTTTTTTTTTGCTTTTTTAAAATATATTTTATTGATTATGCTGTTGCAGTTGTTCCATTTCCCCCCTTCACTCCCCTCTACCCTGCACACCCTCTCCCACCCACATTCCCCCCCTTCAGTTCATGTCCATGGGTCATACATATAAGTTCTTTAGCTTCTACATTTCCCATACTGTTCTTGCCCTCCCCCTGTCTATTTTCTACCTACCATCTATGCTACTTATTCTCTGTACCTTTTCCCTCCCTCTCCCCCTCCCATTTCCCTGTTGCTAACCCTCCATGTGACCTCCATTTCTGTGGTTCTGTTCCTGTTCTAGTTGTTTGCTTAGTTTCTTTTGGTTTTGTTTTAGGTGTGATTGTTAATAATTGTGAGTTTGCTGTCATTTTACTATACATGGTTTTTTTATCTTCTTTTCTTAAATAAATCCCTTTAACATTTCATAAAATAAGGGCTTGGTGATGATGAACTCCTTTAACTTGACCTTATCTGAGAAGCCCTCTATCTGCCCTTCCATTCTAAATGAAAGCTTTGCTGGATAGAGCCATCTTGGATGTAGGTCCCTGCCTTTCATGATTTGGAATACTTCTTTCCAGCCCCTTCTTGCCTGTAAGGTCTCTTTTGAGAAATCAGCTGACAGTCTGATGGGAACTCCTTTGTAGGTTACTGTCCCCTTATCTCTTGCTGCTTCTAGGATTCTCTCCTTCATTTTTACCTTGGCTAATGTAATTATGATGTGCCTTGGTGTGTTCCCCCTTGGGTCCAACTTCTTTGGGGCTCTCTGGGCCTAGACTTCCTGGAAGTCTATTTCTTTTGCCAGATTGGGGAAGTTCTCCATTATTATTTGTTCAAGTAAGTTTTCAATTTCTGACTCTTCCTCTTCTCCTTCTGGTACCCCTATAATTTGGATGTTAGAATGTTTAAAAATGTCCTGGAGGTTCCTAAGCTTCTAGTTTTTTTGAATTCTTATTTCTCCATTCTTTCCTGTTTGGTTATTTCTTTCTTCCTTCTGGTCCACTCTATTGTTTTGAGTACCAGTTTCCTTCCCATCACTATTGGTTTCCTGTGCATTTTTCTTCATTTTTTTAATTGTAGCCTGCATAAGTTCATCTAATTTGTGACCAAAATCAACCAATTCTGTGAGCATCCTGATCACCAATGTTTTGAACTGTGTATCTGATAGGTTAGCTATCTCTTGGTCGCACAAAAGGATGAGTTCTGGGGCTTTGATTTGTTCTTCTGTTTGAGCCATCTTTTTTTTTTTTTTTGGTCTGGTCGCACCTGTTATAGTAAGGGGTGGAGCCTTAGGTGTTCACCAGGGCAGGGCACGCCAGTTGCTGTGTTGTGACATTGTATGTAGGGGCTGGGTCTAGAGGGAACAATGGCGGTTGCTCTGTTCTCCGTGGGACCTGAGTCCTCTCTGCTGCTTCCCCCAAGTAAACTGGGCCCCTCTGGTGCCAATTCCCGTGTGGGTGGGCTTTTGCACACCATGGGACCCTCCAAGGACCTCCCCCGTGAGGATGGGTGTCTCTCTGTGTGCCTCAATTCCCACAGATGTCCTCAGTCAGTGTCCCGAGGCTCTATTTTCCAGCGCTGTGATCCTGGGTTGCGCGCCTGCCTCGCTTTACTATTGCTGCCTCATTGGGTCTGCTGGTTGCCGGTTGCTGGTTGCCAGCCCTGGGCCAGGGTCTGCCAGCTGCCACCTGCACACTCAGGGTCCACCTGCTGCGGTCCTGCGCACCCCGGACACCTTACTTGCCCCCGGACTCACACACCGGTCCCACTGTTCTCTGCTCTCCGCGCCTGGCTGCTTGTCTCTGCTCCTCCTACCCGTCTGGATGCATGGGTCTAATTCAACTTCTTGGTTGTCCGACTTCCAGTCAGATCAGTTTTCTGTCATTTCTGGATGTTATTCTGTTTCTAATTGTTGTTGTCCCTATCTTGGTTGTGCGTGGAGGTACGGTGTGTCCACCTATGCCTCCATCTTGGCCAGAAGCCTAAACTTTTTTGCAGAGGAAAAAGGGGCAAGCATAAAGCAGGGGGTGGGGGGATTAAAGCAGCTGGATGTCCACGTGCCGTGTAGTCAGCTTACCGAGAACAGCAGAAAGCAAAAGGAAGCCTCTTGTGAAGTCTGCTGAAGTCAAGTCCTACCTGAGGCACCTTGATATGCAGCTGTTTGGTTTTACTGTCACCTCTGGAGACTGGCAGCAGAGTACTCTTGGGGGGTAGGAGAAAAAGTACACGGGCATGTAAATTTCCTTTCTAATTGTGATTGGTGTTTACACTGAAGATTCACAAACGACAACACACCTTTGTTTTTTAAATAGGTTATAAATGTCAAAAAGGATGCTGCTTTGTGGCAAAAACATGGACAGAGCTTCTGAAACATGTGAGAACCACCCATAAAGGTAAGGCAGACACAAATAGCTCAGCATAACCATTTGCCCCTGTAGAACTATTGCAGTGCTTTTAAAGAAATATTAATTATGTCCTTAAAATAATAGGTATTTTGTGAGGTGCTGGGTACTTCAGCTGTTTGACAAAAGAGAAGAGATACCTATGGTCCCAGGTTTGGGAAGAGCTATGCCAGGTCTCTTTGAGCCATTTTGTATATTCAGCCTTTTTAAAGGCTCTGGCAAGTACAGAATCTGGGGGGACACTGGGACTCTGTGGGGCATTTTGGGGAAGAGTGCCCTGTGTGCCGGGATACAAGGAGGGAAACTGGCCTATTTAGTTTCCTCCCTGTTCCCACAGCCGCCATGCTGAGCACCCCTGCTCCTTGGCAAGGGTGACTCGCTGTAATAGAAGCACTTGGGAGAATTGAGACAAATGTTCAAGCAATAAAAATGAGTTATTTTCCTCTGAAATTTCTAATTTATGTACGATCACAAGGTTTTATGTATTGAATATGTTACTTACATACTGAATACAGTATTTAATGTTTTCTATTTGGCAATACTTGGGGAAATTGGGTACACTTTTTTTGTGTATTTTATCAGAGGAAGTGGTGTGTGAAGTATGCCAGAAAACTTTTAAACGCAAAGATTATCTGAAGCAACATATGAAAACACATACCGAAGAAAGGAGTGTGTGTCGATGTCCCAGGGAAGGCTGTGGTAGAACCTACACAACTGTGTTCAACCTGCAGAGCCACATTCTCTCTTTTCACGAGGAAAGGCGTCCGTTTGTGTGTGAACATGCTGGCTGTGGCAAAACGTTTGCGATGAAAGTAAGTGCTCACCCTCCCCGGGGCAGTACTGTTGGTGTGTCATTTCCAGCTGGGTTCCACGGAGCCCTGGGTTCCAGGATGGTGTGTCCAGGGCCGGCAGCCTGGGTGAGCAGGGCCCTAAGATCTTCCACTCTTGCTTCAGCTGGAGCGGTTCTGAACGGAAGTCTGCCACACAGCCAGATCTGCGTGTGCCATGTGGTTCTGAGTGCAGCCCTGGCTGAGGAGCTCCAGCATCACCTGGAAACTTGCTAGGAATGCACAGCCACATGCCCTACTCTAGGACTGCTGAACCAGAAACTCTGGGGTTTGGTGGCGCAGTAACGTGTTTAAGAAACCGTCCAGGTGATTCTCACATGGGCTGTATTTGAGAACCAGTAGCATATGGAACCAAATGCTTATTCAAGAGTATGCCAATATTTTGGGTGTCCTTTCAGGCTGCTGTCATCCAGGAGCCATCCTTTTCGGCCACAGTCATGTAGGGATTGAGAAGGGAAGTGGGCAACAAGGACACAAGGGCCTGCAGGACTTTGGGGGTCCATCTAGTCTGTATTTGAATGAAATGTATTTCATTTGTGGTTCATTGTATTTTCGTACAATCATTTGTGATTCAAATGGTTAGGAACATGATACAAGTTGGAAGGGGCTGTGCAGTTTGGGAAACTCTCCCATGGTTGGTACTCTTAAAAGCACTTAAACCATGAATTATAATGAAGACTGGAGAGAGAAATGAGGCTCAGCATATGTCCAAACCATTAGAAAACAGCTGGGAGCTGCTGGGGGTCAGCATTCTCAGCAAGGACAGCAATACTTTGGTCAGATATTCCACTGGTTTGGGGATGCTGATCACATAGCTTTGGTTAAAAGAACCTCCCCTTCAGCTTGGAATGATTTATTCAGAACTAGTTTTCCCAACCTTTTACTTATGAAAGAACTAACAAGCCACAGGGGACCAGCCCAGACTGGATAAATGCCTAACCTGGGTCACTGGAAGAGGCAGTGACTTCAGTCCAGGGTTTGGGAAGAATCCTCTGTGGGAATCTTCGCATAGGTCACACCTCTCAACAGAACATAACCGAAAGAAGGCTGTTTATTTGAGTAAGGCATGGACTTTTCATATTAATAGACACCAAATGGCAGTGTTTTAAAAACAACTTTATTTTTTCTTTCATTTCAGCAAAGTCTCACTAGGCATGCTGTTGTTCATGACCCTGACAAGAGGAAAATGAAGCTCAAAGTAAGTTGAGATTTAGGCGAGCCGTTTTTAAAACATAAATTGCAGACTGAAGCCAGATGCAATCTACTTAGAATAGTTTCGACTACTTATTACTGTGTGAGTTTGCAGTGCTACTGAGAGCACCTGGATAGGTTTCACTTTCTTGTAAGGGGTGTTGTGTGCCTATCAGGGTGTACGACAATTGTAAAATAAGTTCAGGTAATTTTGATCCTGAATTCTGTTTTCCTTATTTCCAAAGGTAAAACAAACTCGTGAAAAACGGAGTTTGGCTTCCCGTCTCAGTGGCTACATCCCTCCTAAAGGGAAAAGGGAACACAGCCTATCTTCGCCTCAGCCTAGACAGCTGCTGAGCCGCGCTGAAGACAAGGTGCTCTCGACGGTCGCAGTGCTCACCCTCAGCTGAACACCCAGTGGTTTCCACAGACCGGCCAGCTCACTTACAGGCAGGTCTCAGAGACAGTGCAGGTGGCCTCCAAACCACCGCAGCAGAGCACATAGTGGGAAAAAGTGAGTTGAAATGTTTTTGCTGGTGAAGGGTCTTGCCTTCAACTTGTAAAAAAGGGAACACCTGTAAAACAGTAAAGTACAATAAAACAAGGTATGCCTACACAGTGTGACCTTGGTTACTCCTCATTAATTCGTTCCAGAACTCGTTATGCGTGCTGAAACCGACGAGTACCAAGCAAGCGGGGAGTGATGAAGCATTTTCTCTTGCAGGGTGACATTGTGACTTACATAGGTTCTAGCCAGTGTGACAAGTCCCAGCAAGCACCAGGGGCTGAAACGTTTTCTTCTCACCCAAATATGACAAGCATAGAGTTTGACAAGTTCCAAAGCCAATGAGTACTGTGGTATGACTGTATTTTCTCTCAAAAGCACATTTTTCTTTAATCACTGATGCAGAACATCTGATTCTGTGTTTCCATTTCTTTTGCTCAAAGGCTCTCCTTCCTGGGTCTGCTGAGTCTCTCTATATGCAGTCTCTTCTTTTTTGCTCAAATGACGAAGAACACACATTACAGCTTTTCCTCCTTTAATGGGTTGTGGCCTGGAGGAGAAGGTAGCTATTCCAGGCATAGTCTGGAGGATTCGATTAAATATCTCCTCCTAAGAAGGGAAAACAGCTAAAGGTTAATTTAAAACCAGTATTTTGATTATTTCTGGTGTTAATCCTCTAATACCCATAAACCCAAGCATTCTTGAATTGCTGTTTACGTGATTAGCTAAATCAAATGCTACTGCCCAGTTAAGCTGACTGAAACCTGTACAGCGACCAGGAAGTTACTCAAACTTCATGTAACTAAACGAAGGCACTAAAGGCTTGATGGTTTTAAATCCCTACTCTGTCACTGCACTGAGGCTAACTTCTTACAAGAACAAGTATAAAGCAGTGGGTGTGGGTATTGGCAGAGTATGAACTTACTTGCAGTCACTTGGGCTGTTAGAAGACTACATCTGGTTCTAGAGATTCCGGGTCAGCAGATGGGAGCCTAGGCTTAAGTGATTCTAACTCAGAACTAGGCTTGACCTCACCACTGGGCTGATGCTGCCTTTCAGTTAAGTTATCTAACTCTCAAGAGAGAAACAGGTATTCAGCACACTTATCCTGGGATTGTAAACTGATACACACTTTCTTGAAGACAGTGATGCTTCTTACTAGGATTTATAAAGAAAAAAAACGTTAAAAAATGAAATCTATAAAGTTTCTAGTTTTCCTATTTAAATGTTAGATATTCTAGTTCATAAAATATAGTATATAGCCTTTAAATTATGAAGTAGAATGTTTTCACATGGCAAAAAATGTGTGCTACAATGGAAAAAGTAAATATAAAAGTATGTTTGCACATTGAAAAACAAACTAGAAAGCTATCATCACTAATATTGATAGAATTACTGTCACTTTTCTTTGCCTTTACGTTTTCCAGATTTTCTACAATTGTACTTCTAGATGAGAGACCAAAAAACACAGTTGCTCCTGTTTTCACTTACTGTTTTATTTTCTGGTTCCTCTGTATTCTTGGCTTTCTTCACAGTAACTTGAACTTTGTATTTTTTCTCAATCCATTGCTGAATCTGTTTACTCTTTGTGTTCAAATCGTGTTGTCCAATATTTGAAGAAAACGTTAGTTCCTTTGTCAGAGTCGGTCCTAGTTTGAAACAGTGAGACTTGGTGCTGGACTGTTTACTGCCCTGTCGGTGAGACCAACCCTCAGCACAAAGAACGCCTCAGGCTGCCCTGGGGCCCGGTGGTCCTCTCACTTGACTCGTTTCACAGTCTAGGAAACACTTACAAATGGGTGACAGACACAAAGGTACCATTTTTTTTGGCCTGTCAAGAAAGGGTGTTTAAATACGAAATGCCTCCAGTTATTGTTACCATCATTTGGTTAAAAAACAAAAGAATGGTCCTTCAAAAGGAACAAGTTTGGCTTTATGATAAACTTAATTATCCTTGTTTTTCTTTCTGAGGTGGATCGTCTGGGAAGTGCTTTTCTCATCTTACTCTTTTGTGATGCCCTCCTGGCCACAGTGGGGTCTCCCAGGCTGCGTCCTGCGTTCTTTCCCTCGACTCTGGAACTCCCGACTGTTAGCCGGTTATTTTACAGGGAAGGAACAAACTGCTCACTAAAGGCACTGGGACAAATGAGTTTTCATACGGGGCGATAGTTAGATTTTGACCCAAACAACCATCTCCCTTGATGGACTACCTAAATGTGAAAAATACAACTTGAATAGAAATGGAAGAAAAGAAAGGATATGTTTATGACCTCAAAACAAGGGGAAAAACAAAAGAGAAATTTAACTAGAAGGTTTTTCTCTTCACACAGAACAGAGAGCCGTATAAATCAGAACAAAAATAAACCATCAAAGTAAGAAAAGAGGAATAGGAACAAGCAGTTGGCAGACGAGGAGACTCAGGCTGAAAGGAGACACAAACCGTACTGTGGTCTCTTGGCCGTGAGCATGACAGAGAGGAGAGTCTGACGGCACCAAGTGTGGGCAAGGGCGGGGAGAGCCGCTCACACCGCGAACGGTATGCCCTGCAGGCGTCTGGCGCGTGCACCAGGAGACACGGCCGAGCGTGTGCTCCTTCTTCATAATAATGAAGACTGGAAACGGGTCCAACGGCCAGGGAAATGAGCCGACAAAGCTACAGTATGTGCTCATGATGGAATGTCATTAGTAATTATAATTGGCTATAGCCATTATATAAACACCTTGAAAACAACAGTGAGCCATTTATAATTCTAAGTAAGCATTACTGTTCTGTATACTGTCGATGACTATATCTGTCCTAACTGGAGTTTAGCAACATGGACTGGACCCACACCCTGAGTCCGAGAGTGAGCAGGGGCCTCTGAGGGAGGAGTGCGGAAGGGGAGAAGGGAGCACAGGGGACCTTAACTTTCTGTCATGTTTCATTTAAGAAATCTAAAGTACAACAATGTTAATGCTTGTTCATTTTGGATGGTAAGAGTTTATTATATTTTTCTGCATCTAATTTCCAAAATAAGAGTAATTTTACTAAAAAGGAATGCTTTTATTAACACCTACTTGCTTCCTTAAAGCTTCAGCCAGATGGTCCTAGTTTCCCGTCAGGACAAAGTGATGCCTCTGACAGTCTCTGAACTTGGCAAAGTGTCTTCCCAAGTCAGCTCTTTTTTTCAGTGACGCAGTTTGATGTCCTTACCCCCCTAGCTGGCCTCTTCTTAGACATTTCTGTTTCCCAGTCAACATTCTGGTGGTTCGGTGTGGTGTTACAGACCAAGCCACCGTTGGACAGTGTGATTTTCTCAAGGCGCACCGCCTTGCTGTGGCAGCTCTGGGCTGTCTTCTGCTCCCCACCCCAGTGCTTTCACCATTGAGCAATATTTAATTATGATGAGTACAAACTAAAAATCATGAAAAACCAGCATCTTCACCTCAGATCCCATTAATAGCTTTTATAAGGTTTTGATGACAAATTCCTTGTCTGGTGATTGGCAAAATATGTAAAGGAGTGTTACTGCCAGTATTGTAACAAAATACTTAGGCATGGCAGATGAATCACTTCAGAGTTTAAAAGGTGTTTCCATGGAATTAACCAAACACCTCCACTTTGAGATGAGAGGCTGTTTGTTTCCTTTTTAAGGAGGGTAAATGAGGGACTCAGGACAGCAATGGGAACTTGAGTCCTTGACTCCACCCCTTTGGAGTCCCATTTCACTGCACTCATCATTAGGCTACCGACCCGAGCGTTAGGCAACAAAGCCAAGGGCAAAGGGGAAAGAGTACCTATCATTCTGGTGGTGGTCACCTTGTTTTTCCTCATTTTACGTACGTTTAAAGGAGGAGATGACAACACAGGATGCAAAAGAAAGAAAACAAGCAACAGAAATTAAGTGAGGGATGAAAAGCACTGGAAACAGTGATGAAACTGAGTTTTCCAGTTTTGCACCTCCCCATTGTCAGAGGCACCGCAGCAAATGCTGACTTGAAACTGCTGGTTTGTAGCCATACAGAATTCAAGGGGCAAACAGCAAACTACCCACCAGTTTTAGGTCTCGCCTTCTCCCTCTCTCTCTGTCTCAGCCGCTCCTCGTGAATCTGCGGGCCTGTCATGAGCTGGTACTCAGGGGGCTCGGCGCTGGGCTTCCTTTTCACGAGTCTCAGGTCACGCTCGTCCATGAGCCGAATCACTTCTGCTCGGTGCAAGTTTCCCAAATCATTGCCCTGCTCATCAAATAAATGAATAATTCGCTCACTGATTTTTCTTCCAACGTTACTAAAATCAATTTCATTCTTTTCTTTCTTTTTTCTTTCAGCCTGGGTGTCTTCAATTGTACTAAAAGCTTTTGCATGAATTAGATAGGCCAGTCTTGGGGCAGAGGCAGTACGGGCCAACTGAGCTGGTGCCATCGTCTGCACGGTGTACTTCCCCAAACATCTTCTAAGGCAACTGTTTCCAGTTGTCATGGTTCGTAATGGTAACTTCTTCAGAAAAACAGCAGCCATCCTAAAAAGCAGGAAGACAAGTTGATTACAAGTAAATCATTTGTTCTTGTGGTTTCATACTGTGGTACAAAAAGGGCGTGTGTGAGGCCGTGGGAACAACGTCATCTGTGAATGTTACTGATCTGTGCACAGGAAATTTGCACCAACAACATGGACCATCAGGTGGCCACAGGCACACTCACTCTTGGTGGTGCTGTCCCCAGTATTGTTAGAATAAAACATGTGCTTTTACACAGTGCTTTTGTCTCCCATTTTTTTCTTCACCAAATATGATTCTATTTCCCACAGAACCTACAGTGCCAACTTCAAAAGCAAAGATCATCTCAAGGATTTTACAAGGGCGTCCAACCTGCAGCCCATAGGCTACATGCAGCCCAGGACGGCTGTGAATGTGGCTCAACACTAAATTGTAAATTTACTTAAAACATTATGAGACCTTTTTGTGATTACGTGTCATAATGTATTTAATGTGTGGTGCACAGACGCCAAAGGGCTGGACACCCCTGAAGGAGGATGCAGTATAGAACATACTCAGTGATTCACAAACGCCAATTCATATGCTTTTAAGACATAAGCAATTTGTCAATATACCTGATAGTATAGAAAGTACAAGAGCGCTATTCTGGGAAGGCGGCCTCTCCACAGGGAAAGCTGACCCACTAGAGGAACTAGTTGAGACTATCAGAAAGGAAATACCCTGACGTTAGCCAAAGTGCTGACTTCATTAACTGTAAAGATCACTCACCAGGTAAGTAAGGCATTACTACCAAATGTTAACCAAGCATCAGGTACTTGTGATAGTGGTTTCATGGTTCTACGTGATGCGCTTAGTGGCATTTTGATTTTTAAGTTGCTCCTCTACCATAATAAGGTCTCTGTCCATCCATTCACGTGTTAGATGAAGCTTAGAAGTGCAGGCTGCAGGAGGGATGAGAAGGCCCATTCGTCTCCTCCTCTAAGGTTTGCTGAGAAACACCAGAGAACCAAGAACTCAGAGAGGCGTGCCTTGTCAAAGATGAAAGAGGAAAGGATGAGGTGCCTTACATAGTGCTTCCAGAGAATGGTCCTGGGGCCACCTGCATGAGACTCACCTAGGCTGTAAAGACTGGAAATTTCCTCTGGTCCCTAGATTTGATCCCACCAGTCACCCCACTGATCTTACCCACCACTACCCCTTGTACCCGTGGTTGACAAGTGATATGAGAAAAAAGGCTCAGCAAACTGAATAGAAAGTGCACGGAATGTGCATATTCTCACTTCCCTCCTTCACTAGCCCCTCCCCAACACCTCCACTTAGGTATCTACTAGTGGCCCTAAGTGAACATGACCAAGACGGAATTCTCCACTTCTACCTTACACTTGCTCTTCTGTTTTCCTGGTCTCGTAAAACGACAACACCTCCTGTCGCTCAGGTCAAAACGGCCAAGTTATTCTTGACTTTTCTTCTTCGCTCAGCAACTCACTAGCAATTCCTGTTGTTCAACAGGTAAAACACATCCAGGGTCCAAACACTTCTCACCTCTGTTGCTATCAAACCACCCCTAAAAGCCACCTTCATCCTCCACCTGGACTATAGTGACTGCCTCCTGACTGGACTGTTATCTGCCTTTGTGCCCCAATAATTTATCACCCATAGGGCACACAGGGTGACCCCTGTAAAACGTGTAAGTCAAACAATATGCCTCTCTGCTCACAACTCTCCAGTTGCTCCCATCTCAGGATGAGAGCCAAGCATGGAGGCCTACGGGGTCCTCCAAGACCCAGCCCCCACGTACATCCTCAGCCACAGCGCTGACCGCGCTTCCTCCAGCTCACTCTGTTCCATCCAGCCTTGGGGTTTCTTGCAAACACTGGCCCTGCCCCCTCTCTGGGTCCTCGCACTCAGGCGTTCCCCTCCTTCAGACAGCTGCGTGCTTCATTTACTTCAAGTCTCTGCTCAAATGTCACCACCTGATGAGGCCATGACTGGCCACTCTATAAAATGGCACACTCCATTCAAACACATTACCTAGCCTTTTAAAAAAATTCACTGCCTGACATATATTCACATGTAATCTTTCCTCACTGGAGTGTAAGCTTCATGAGAAAACGTACTTTGTCCATTCTCTTCACGGCGGTGGTCCTAACACTAGAGCCAGAGTCTGGCTCAGTGGCACATACTGAATGAATGCGCGAGCCTTGGGGTACAGCCTAGACCCCAGGGGTTTCTGCTGGCACTTAACTTCGAGGTCTTTAGATGTGTCACTCCCCACCAATCCACATAAACGCTGGTCAGTCACACCCTCATGTTTCTAGCTGATGCTTCAAATGCCCACTGACATCAGTGACATCTGTGGCTGGGTGTTTCTTTATCTACAGCAGGGGCCTCAAACTCATTTTCACTGGGGGCCACATCAGCCTCGTGGTGGCCTTCAAAGGGCTGAATGTAATTTCATCTCCTTAACTGTTAAGGAGTAGTTACACTTACACAGTCCTAAAATTATTTCAGCCCTTTGAGGGTAACTGCAAGGATGATGTGGCCCTGGTGAAAATGAGTTTGACACCCCTCATCTACAGAGAATGAGATGAATTAGTTTATAGCCCTTAACGTGGGCCGGGGATTCATTGTAGATGTTGTAAGGGCTCTAAGCTGGGAGCAAGCTGGATTTGAAATAGCTGAGATACTTAATGTTCAGTAAAAAGCAGTTACATATTTTGTTGGTGGAGGAAGGTCCCAAACCGAAAAGTAGTCTGAAGAGACCAGAGAAGATACTTTTCCATCTAATATCAGAAAAGTGGCAGCAGCCTCAAGTCCCAAATTTCAGAGTTACAGCTGGAAGCTCCTGTGCCCTGTGTAATGAATCATCGCCACATTAAAATAGAAAATATTATTTTAAAACATAATATTTTTAAGAACTAAGGAAATAAACTAGGCATAGGAAAAGAATAAAATTTATTGAAACCCTGGATATTTGAGGTTGAAAACATATTGATTTTCCCCTAATTATTCTTCCTAATTATTTCTCAAAGTTTTTAATAAGGAGGAAATATTTTTATCCTAGTAAATAAGTTATATTTCTTTATAAAGACTATTTCAGAAAAATGACATAAAATATTTTAAACTTTAAAAACACTTTTCAAGAAGACTGTAGAAAAATACTATAACTATTTTTTAAAGTTCTTTACCATTATTCAAATTTTAAAAAACTTTAAGTTTTCTTGATTTATACAGCAATTAAACTTCAATATTAGCTAAATTGTGGCTTTAGATCAGCAAATTTGAAGACATACACAGTTCTTCAAAATAAGCTTTTAATAGATAAAATTATAAACACAGTTAAGAAAGAACGTGTTACTAAATTTGAATTGCAAATATCCACAGAAATTCAGATAATTACAAAAGTTTGAATCAGGAAAAATTCCACACATATATGAAAAGAACACTGCAATGTGCCCTAAGCACCCGTCACTCAGCTGACTTCCCAGCAGGCGGCCACGTTTGTTTCACCTTCACCCTCACCAACCCCTGCCCTCCCCATCCAGGAACTACTTCAAAGTAAGTCTCATCAATAAATACCTCAGCTTGTCATCTGTAAGAGGTAAGGCCTTTTTTATCTTTTCAATAACCACAATATATCTTCCCAACTAATAATAATCCCTTTATATCACCCAAGACCCGGTTTTCCCATGTCCCTGACAGTATTACACTCTTGCTTGTGTACATCTCATTTACAGTTTGGTAACAAGAAGAGCCTACCACTGCCACATGTGTATAATTTAAGCATGAATGACTAAAATTCATTCCAACACATTAAATATGCAAAAATCTATTAAAAGAAAGATCATTTGCCATGACTGATTATTACCCTTACTCCTTACTTTGAAAATTGGTAAAGAACTAAACATGTATCCTACCATTTAAGGAAGAATTAGAATCATCCCCAATTGATAAAGAAAAGCTCTTCTTCAGAGCAGAATGCCAGCTAATACATGGAGAAGAAAAGTAAAAGTAATTTAAAAATCACCATTTTGTCACCACCAATCAAATCACTGATTTAGGCAAGGATGGACACGAAAATCAACAAGTAAAAAGCTGTTGAGGAAACAAGGCGTTCACGTGGTGCCAAGGGGTGACCAAGGATGACTTCCACGTTAAAACAGGAAGAATACACCCTGCTGTTACCCAAAACAAAGGAGAGACTCGGCATCCCGACGGCGGGACAACCCGTATCCTAGCACCTGTCTCCCGGTGGCACTCAGCTCCTACAGGCACCTCCTGGGAAGAAGCCCTGCCTGGTCTGGTGTCTTCAAAAGTCAGTGTCACTGGGAAAGGAAAGGTCTGCGGTGGAAGTCTATGCTTAAATAAAAAGACTAAGGAGACATATTGTTGAATGCAATGTGTTTGAAAAAAGCACCTAAAAAGACATTTTGGGATAAAGGGAAAATCTGAATGTGGCCTAGATTCAGGATGGATTAGATATTCTCCAGAAAGTATTGTTAATTCTCAGGTGTGAAAATGGCATTATTAGGAAATGAATACTGGAGTATGTAGGGAGGAGGGTCTCATGACATTAGCCACTGAGCCTGAAATGGTTTGGCAGAAAATACAGCAATTAGGGCAACATTTGCTGAACCTAGACTATGGGTATATGGTGTTTAGTTAGTCTTTCAACTTTTCTGTATGTTTTTCATAAATAAAAAGTTAAAAAAAAATCAATAGCCTACAGGGAGGAAAACATTTATTGGTTGTGGACTTCCAGCCAAGATGGAGGCATAGGCAGATACAGTGTGCTTCTCACACACCAAAAGGACAACAACAAATTCAAAAACAAAAAACAATCTGGACTACCAGAAAATCGAATGTATGGAAGTCCGACAACCAAGGAGTTGAAGAAACATTCATCCAGACCAGTAGGAGAGGTGGAGACGGGCAGCCAGGGAGGAGAGGACTCACGGCAAGGTAGCAGCTGGCAGGGCAGGCGGTCCCACATTTGTGTGTGGATAAATTGGGGGAACAACTGGGGAGTGAGACAGATTGAGCAACCCAGGGTTCCAGCGTGGGGAAATAAAACCTCGAAACCTCTGACTGAAAACACCTGTGGGGGTTGAGGCAGCAGGTGAAACTCCCAGCCTCAAAGGAGAGTTCGTTGGAGAGACCCACAGGGTCCTAGAATATATACTACACACCCTCCGCCACCTGGGAATCAGAACCAGAAGGGCCAAATTTGATTGTGGATAGTGGGGGAAGTGACTGAAAGCCAGCAGAGGGCCAAGCAACTGTCATTGTTCCCTCTCAGACCCCTCCCCCACATACAATATCACAACAAAGTGAAGTGGGTTGCCCCACCCTGATGGGGAGCAACCCACCCCTCCCTAAGGCTCCGCCCCGTACCATAGGCATGCAGAGACAAAAAAAATGGCCCAAATAAAAAAAAATCAAAGCTCCAGAAAAAATACAACTAAGTGATGAAGACATAGCCAACATATCAGATGCAGAGTTCAAAACACTGGTAATCAGGATGCTCACAGAAATGGTTGAGTATGGTTGCTAAATAAAGGAAGAAATGAAGGCTATGCAAAGTGAAATAAAGGAAAATGAACAGGCAACCTACAGTGACAGGAAGCAAACCGGGACTCAAATCAATGGTTTGGAGAAGAAGGAAGAAAGAAACATTCAATGAGAACAAAATGAAGAAATAAGAATTCAAAAAAATGAGAGGCTTAGGAACCTCCGGGACAACTTTAAATGTTCCAACATTCAAATCATAGTGGTGCCAGAAGGAGAGGAGGAAGAGCAAGAAATTGAAAACTTATTTCGAAAAATAATGAAGAACTTCCCCAATCTGGTGAAGGAAATAGACTTCCAGGAAGTCTAGGCCGAGAGAGCCCCAAAGAAATTGGACCCAAGGAGGAACAACACCAAGGCACATCATAATTACATTACCCAAAATTAAAGATAAGGAGAGAATCTTAAAAGCAACCAGAGGAAAGGAGACAGTTAACTAAAAAGGAATGCCCATAAGACTGTCAGCTGATTTCTCGAAAGAAACTTCTCAGGCTAGAAGGTACTGGAAAGAAGTATTCAAAGTCATGAAAGGCAAGGGCCTACATCCAAGATTACTCTATCCAGCAAAGCCATCATTTAGAATGGAAGGGCAGGCAAAGTACTTCCCAGACAAGGTCAAGTTAAAGGAGTTCATCATCACCAAGCTGTTATTACATGAAATGTTAAAGGGACTTATCTAAGAAAAAACAATAAAAAATATGAACAATTAAATTATAACAAACTCACAACTATCAACAACTGAGCCTTAAAAAAACAAAAACAAGAACTAAGCAAACAACTACAACAGGAACAGAATCACAGAAATGGAGATCACATGGAGGGTTATCAGCGGGGAGGTGGAGGAGGAAGAAGAGGTAAAGGTACAGGGAATAAGAAGCATAAATGGTTGGTACAAAATAGACAGGGGGAGGTTAAGAATTGTGTAGGAAATGTAGAAACCAAAGAACTTATGTGTACGACCCCTGGATATAACTAAGGGGGAGGAATATGGGTGGGAGGAGAGGTGCAGAGCGGAGGGAAATGAAAGGAGGAAAATGAGACAACTATAATAACATAATCAATAAAATATATTTTTTAAAAATTTACTAGTTGTGCCAACAGGTAAAAGTTAGTATGTCTATTTTACAGTAGAAACTGCATGCCTACCAGCATCATCTGGGGATGCTTTTTCAAAACAAGATGTTTCCTCTCTCCTCTACTGTTAAGAACCACTTGATTAGGGCCCCTCCCTAAAAAAGATGATTTAAGGTCCTGGCTGGATGGCTCAGTTGGTTGGATTGTTATCCCATACACCGAAAGGCTATGGGCAAACCCAGTTCCAAAAGGAACTGGTCAAACCCATTCTGACCAGTTCCTGGTCAGAACACATACCTCGGTTGCTGGTTTGATCGAGAGGCAGCTGATCAACGTTTCTCTCAAGTCAATGTCTCTCTCCTTTCCTCTCTCTCTAAAAAAAAAAAAAAAAAAAAATCCTCAGGTCGGTATTAAGAAAAAGATGACATAAGAAAATGAATAATAAATACTATAAAGTGAGTTCAAGCAGTTTGAGCTAGAATGTCCAGGATTATCCTTAACCTTTCAAAGTTGATGAGAAATAGAAAGAAAGCTATGTTCTCTAGTGAAATGCCCTTGACACCTCTGACCAATAAATAAGAGGGTGAAGGAACCTGTCGTCTAAATCAAAATGAAAAGGCTCATGTTCTGATGATAATATGGGTGAATTTAGTGACTCTTACTCCCAGAACTATCCTTTCTGAGACATCCAGAAATATTTTAAAGGGAAACTACCTTAAAGTCAGTTACTTAAAATGCATAATTATACCACATCTGTGATTTTATGATTATTCAGACTTTACCAAAATCACACTCACTCTGTGCCACATACCATACTTTGCTGTATGTAATATGCACTTCTTTGCCCAAATTTTTGAGGGGAAAATAAGGACGTGCATTATACATGGGTACAATGAATACATAATCTCGTGTAAAACGTGCACAAAAAAACGTGGGCATGCATTATACACTGCAAGATACAGTAATTTTACATCTGTTGGTAGTTGGTTTTCTTTTAAATCCTCACTGCAGAACATGCTTATCAGTTTTAGAGAGAGGGGAAGGATGGAGAGAGAGAGGGAAACAAGGATGTGAGAGAGAAACATCAATCAGTTGCCTCTCACATGCACGCCAACCCAACCGCAACCTCGGCACATGCCCCAGCCAGAAATCAGGAATTGAACCTGCAATCTTTTGGCCCACGGGACAATACTCCAACCAACTGGACCACAGGAACCAGGGCTCTGTTGGTAGTTTTAAATTCAGTAGCCACCTCCATATTTAGAAAGAAACACAGAATTCTTTTCTATTCTTTATTTACTTGAGATTGGATCACTGATAAACTCCTCCAGTCATCACAGGATAAGCTGACCGACATCCCCAAATACATTGCTCCTGGGTGCTGTACTTCCTCTCAGCCACTTCTGCTCCTTTCAGTCCTCACCCCTCCTCCTGGACCTCTTTGGCATCATCACTAACTCTCCTAGAACAAGGCTAGAAAACAGATCAATTGGATTATTCAAAATGAACACAACACAGAGTAATTTTAATGAGTGATCCACATACTCCATAAGAAAGTGAAATGATTTCAATATTAAACCATGGAGTGGGAAATTTTTTAATGAAATAAATATGTGGCTACTTCCATAGGCTATGTATTTCAGGTAAGGTTAGGGCTGTGTTCTTTGTATTTTCAAGTTAGTTTTCAGTTGTCTAAAATGAGTAATATTCTTTGGAGGCTTATCTTCCCCAACTTTCATTGTGAAAATGTTTAAACATACAGAAAAGTTGAAAAGACTGTACAGTGAGCGCATCAGTACCCATTCACCTAGACTCTGTAATACATGTTGTTTTCCTTGCTGTATGTATCCATCTACTTACTACTCTTTCACCCATTTTATCCAATACATTTCAAAGGCAGCTGCAGACATTGGTACATTCATCCTCAAATACTTCAGCATGCACATCATTAACTACAGTTCTGCATTTGTTTATGATTCTTTTTGTTTTCTTTTGAGGCAAAATTTACATACAATGAAATGTAGAAATCTTAAGCCGTCGTTTGATTATTAGTTTTGACAAGTACAAACACTTTTGGAACCAAAACTTCTATTGACATATAGACCATTACCATCACTAGAAATTTTCTTCATGCTTCTTCCAAGTCAATCTCCATCCCTGTCCAGAGGCTATGACTCCTATTTTTTTTCCATCAAGGTTTGTTCTAAGATTTCGTGTAAATGGAATCAAACAGCACATACTCTTTGTTGAAAGCATCTCAGCATGTTTCTAAGATTCATCCACATTGCTGCATGTATCATTCATTAGTTTGTTCCTTTTTATTTCTGAGAAGTATCTCAGTACACAAATACCAGTTTTAAATCCCATTTCCAGATGATGAACACTTAGGCTATTCTCAGTTTTTGCCTATAATAAATAAAGCTGCTAAACATTCTTGTACCACACCCCCCACCAAAAAAAAAAAAAGACAAAATGATAACTGCTCCAAAGGACAGCTGTATTCCCCTTATGATACATTATTCTGCATTCCCTCTTTTCTTTGCAGGCACTCTTTGTGATCCATTATTTTATATCACCTTTTCCAGTACCTTTTTGGGAGGTACTGAAATGTATTTTTAAGGAAACTTCCTAAAATGCAATTTAAATACTGTGGCTTAGTAGATATAATCACGAGGAATGGGTGGGGAGTCCTGTCCTACAAGAAATTAAATCTCTTAAATGCATTTTGAAACTATGTAGACTGCGGACTGAAAATAACTTCATTTCTATTGTTTGTTCACTCACTGGTTTTCTTTAGGATACAGCTGATATTCACAAGCTCATATTGGCATCTCTTCTTCCCAGGGAAGCTGGCTGACTCAAAGTGACATTAGATCCCAGTGGCTTAAGTGTTTATGACATTAACTTTACCAATTCCTATGACACTAAAATTATCTTACACCTTCCAAAGGAGTTTCACAGTCTCTGTTCCTCCCTGCATAGCTGTGAACTGTCCCATCTGCCCCATTCCAGCCTGGGTTGTGCCACCTCCATCCCAGAGGACTGCAACGTGGTCACCAGACTCCACGTCACTGTCCCTCAGCTCGGGTTTTGCTCCTTCATAAGAAGCACAAAGCATGCTCTACACCAAGGCTGGCTGTTTAAGAGCTCAAACACTGATTTACAACACTGGAAAAGGCCAACATGAATCTTTGGACAATTTCTTAACTTTTTAGCTATAAAATTTTTATTTTTAGTTATTTTATTGAAATATTCTAATAACTGCCATAGAAATCTTTTCTAAAAAGCTTTTAATTCCAGAACTAAAGATTCCATGTTACAGGTTATATTACTCTCATACATAGATCTTCTAAATGGTCATTTCATCTTCCAGAACCAGCGACCAGCGACCTAGTCCACCCACTTCTGTTCCCCATCACCTTCATGGCTAACCCAACACCAAGTTTCATCAGTTTTACTTCCTAATACTACTCAAACCCATCCATTGCTCTCCAAGTCCACTGTTACCACCTCAGTTTAAGATATTGTTGATTTCTGGTTTGGATTCCCACCAGTCTCCTAACTAGGCTCTTACTTCACACTTGAACTCTGCAATCAGAGCTCCCTTTTGCATTGCAGTCACCACACCCAGGGCCCTTCCCACCTTAAAACTGCCCCTCTGGATGCCAAAAGGCCCTTCCCACCTTCCCAGCCTCATTCCCTATCAAATTTCCTTTTTGTCTAAACCACACTGGCTTTTCAGGTTATTTAAATGTTCTTTCCCTTGGTTTAGGAAACACCGCATCATTGCCTAATGCCACCTTTCTCAGGGCATTCTTCTGATTGCCTCCCAGACTTACCCTGATCTCTCCCTACTCACCCCGCCTCCCCTCATTTACTCGTTGAGCTTAACATTAATGCCTAAAATTAAACACTTCCAAAGTATAGTTTATCTTTCCCATACAGTATCACAATGATAATTTTGTGATTATCTTATTACTGGTTCCTTCATTCGGCGTAAAGATCTAAGGAGCAGGGGGAGAATCTGATTTATCCTTCACTGTCTTGTGCCTGGCACTATAAACAGCAGTTCATGTTCCTTGACTTCTATTTTCTTGGACTGAGACCTTTCCCAAGATACACTTGGAACTGTGACTTTAAAAAAAAAAACTTATTTACTTCTCTCAGGAGTATTAATGCCATAGGGCCAAGAAAATGATAAAAGGGGCGGGGCGGGGGGGGGAAGAAATCCCAAAATCACTCGACAAACCTCCCCACGACAACCTCTTCGATAGCTCTGGCTTGCTCAGCCCTTCCCGCCCAGGCGCAGAGCCCAGGTATCCAAAGGCTGCTACTGCTACCTCGGGAACAGATCCGATCACGTGCGTCCGAGACGTCTAAGCCAACCCCGAAAAGGGGCGTAAGGACGCACGGAGAGCGCCCGTACGTGCTCTTCAATGGCCGGGTTTGAAGTTCAAGGGGCTGTAAGACCGACGATGGGCCCAGGTGTTGCGACCACGGCACAGCTGGGGGGCAGCTTGGGCCGGAAGGCGGCTTTACAGCTTGACCCGCTCCCCGACCCCGCGGCAGAGCCCCCAAGGCCTACCTGCGTTTATCACAGCAGCATAGGTGGCACTGACCTTCCAGGGACACGTTGGAGCACAATGACGCCTTCTCTGCAGGCATGTCCCTAAGACCACTTCCTCCCGCAGCCCTTCACCTCGGTCGCTCGGCACCCTGCGTCTTTGGGGTTCCCGCACCGGGGCTCGCGAAGGTCTTGCAGAAGGAGCAGTAGACAGGCTCTTCTGCAGACCCCTTCACTTCCCGTAGTGGGCGGGGCCTCGGCCCGGGTCTTTTAAAGGAAAGTGACCTGGGGAGGAGCGTTTCTCTGGCTCCCCTAATAAATCCCTCCGACAAAAATAATTCTGAGGGCGAGGTTTCCGCTGGCAGCTTGCTGGTCGATCATCTGTCTCTTGTGTCTCCAGAGGCTGGATGAAGACTCGTATGCTGAGTTTAAGGAGTTTAAGTGGCAATCAGAGCTTTCCTTCTGTAGTTATATTACACTGACGCCAAACTCGCCGTGGCTACACTCCCACTAAGGCTTTATAGAGAACTTTCACAAACGTTATTTTGTATTTAATAACAATATTTAATAAACGTCTAATTATTTCGACTCAGGGAGCATTGTCGCCGTTTTTCAGGCGAGCAAATAAACTCGAGAGGTGAAAGGTTTCCCTTGGTTCGCAGTAACGCGCAGCGGGCCAGCTGCATCCGAGAGTGGGGTCACTGGAGACAGGACAGAGATGCAGCCCGGACTGAGCTCTCCATAGTGTAATTGGGAGAGCTTCCGACAAGCCAGCCATTGTACGAGGGGGAAAACTCAGTAGTTCTCAACTTCGGATGCAACCCAGTGCTTTGGTTTCTCACCTGCCTGTTTTGGGGGGCCCTTTCCCGGTCTCCGAGGTTGATGATTGCTGGGCTTTCTGTTGGACTATTGGGGTCAACCCCTGCCCCTCTCACCTCTTCAATAGGAATTTCCTCCATGGCAGAGTGAGAGTGTACAGTCGTAACTTGAAGCCACCTAATTAGATAATACTCTAATTTATCCTATAAGAGGAAGTTACATTTACTACATACTTGTAGTCCAGCAGAACACATTGCTTTATTTAGTCGCATTAAATAACTTCTTGAGTCAGGTGTTACTTCTTTTATTACAGATGAGAAAACTAGTTCCGCCTTAAAAAGCTCTGTGAGAGCAAAAACCAAGTGGAGGCGTCCTCGTCAAGTCCACTCTGTGTCCTCATCAACTCCCAAGTCTGGCACATTAGGCACTGAGTATTTTTGAAATAGGGAAGTGATAAACCCACGAACAACTCATGTGTCTGTGACCCAAAGTCCAAGGTTAATATTTGCATGTTGGCCATTTCCAAATTAAACAGGAAGAATTAGAGATTCATTTTATTCAATCAAAAGCATTCCCTAATGCAGAGGTAGAAGTTTGTTTAGTGGTGATTAGATCTCACACACAATAGACTTCAGTTCCTCATTTTAGCAAAACTGCCCTGATCAGAGCTTACAATCTAATGGAGGAGGGGAGTCCTATAAACTAATTATAATTCATTCACGTCTGTTTAAGAATATGCTGAACATTTGAACCTACACACACTTTGCCACATCTCTTTAGTTTCAAAATAAACACAGGGTATTGACTAGTGTAAGATTAACTTCTTCAAGTAATTGTTGCAGTTATTGTGGCAACAGGGAGACAGCCTGGTATTTTAATAACTTTTACGCATAGGAACAATAACAACCGGGAAAGTTCTGTACACTTCTGAGAGTCCCCTTGTGTGCATATATGAAATCAGACAGTTTACAGAGGATTTGTGACATAGTAATACTACTTCTCCAAACCCAGAAGTTCACCTTAGCATGTAGAGGCCATACACACAGGAAGGGGTCCCAGAAGAGCCAGCTGTCTGCTTTATTATCTTTGTTCAAGGGACTTCAAAGTAAGGCTCTCAGTGACTCTACAAAGCTGCTAGGTCTTATTTCAGTTATAAGTCAAAGCAGAGTTCAAGAGATTAAAAAAAAACAACAGCTTTTCTATCTGAAGACAAGTCTGTGACGCCCACCCTTTTCTGCTCACCTTCTTTTTGAGACATCTGACTCCACTCTGGACACATACGCCTTCAAAGAGGGGCCACAAATGGGGTGCTGGTAGGTGGCTCAGGTACCAGTGATTCCTCCGTGTGGGTTTATTCGAATAATAATCCTATCAAATTTCACATTCCTAGTTTGGGCATTAAACCCTTCAGTCAATTTTATACATTTCACTTACCATCCTCACAGACTTCCAGCCCCACTGCTTCCCTCATCAGCATGAGGAACGTTCAGCATTAGGAGCACCAACTCTGATGCCAAGCTGCTTGGGGTTTTTATTCTTGATCTGCCATTAGTAGTGTGACCTCGTGCAAATGACTTCTTTATGCTTCAGTTCTCTCCTCTGTGCAGTGGGGTGACAAGGTTGTCCTGAGGATGAAATGACTTGCTAGAAGTAAAGCACTCAGAATAGAGCCTTGTACGCACACAGGTAAGTACTGAAAGTGTGGCCACTTCCATTGTTGAGCACCTACCATTTCTCAAGGTATGTGCTAGTCACTCTGTTGCTGTATTGCCACGAAATGAACTTCTCTCTTGGTATTAAGGAATAGTTTTGGTAGAATAAAATGAATCTCTAATTCTCTTGTTTAACTTGGAAATGGCCAACATGCAAATACAGGGTCCAGCACAAATAATGCTCCTTTTTTATTATAAAGTCTTTTATTACAAAATCTTAAGCATCTAAATCTCTAACATAACAATATCACACTCAACCATACCATATGGCATTTTAGGTGAAATGTTCAAATTAAAACTCTACATTATTACACTCATATTATTACCCTACCAACCACACTCAAGCAGGCATTACTTCTGACAGACCCTGCATTAACCTTGGACTTTGGATCACAACCATGAGTTGTTCGTGGGTTTACCACTTCACTATTTCAAAAATACTCAGTGCCTAAAGTGCCAGGCTTGGGAGTTGATGAGGACACAGAGTGGACTTGACGAGGACGCCTCCACTTGGTTTTTGCTCTCACAGAGCTTTTTAAGGCTGGACTTGTTTCCTCATCTGCAGTGCCAACTAAACCTAGCCAAGGGCAGTTGTCTTAAGTGGCAGCAACTTTCTCCTCACCTAAGTGCCAGTCTAATAACTGACTGATCCATGCTCCCCTGAGTATATGTTTACAAGTGTGTCAAAGGGACACAGAAAGCAAGGGAAGCAGGATAACTCATCAAAACATCCTGAAGATACCCTCAGCCTAATACCAGGTGTCTGTCCTCATATCTGAAAGTGGGAAGCTTCTTACCAGATCTCTACCATTTGTCCTCAGGCAGAAGTATGCTTAATCCATTGCAAACATGTAAACATTTCTACAATGAAGAAGAAGGAGGAGGAGAAGGAGGGGAAGGGGAAGAAGGAAGAAGAAAGAAGATAGAAGAAAGAAGAAGAAACTCCAGGCAAGGTGATTTAACTTGCATCAGCAGCTCATTCAATGTTTATAGGGACTTAGGGGATCTTTTCCTTTAAGTGCCTCAGATTCGCCTGTGGCTACTGATGCCGCGTCCCCAGAAGAGCTGGAGAACGTGTGGTGACTACATCTGTGTTAAAACCCTTCATGTACTCTGGAATTAGTTTTAGATTCAGAATACCTTTTTTTATGTGTAAGATTTCCCATGACATTAGACTCCTGATTAATCATTTCTCTTGTAACAAACTGATGGCACTGATTAGTCAGAACATGATGGTAGATGTGAGTGAGCAAAATAAATTTGTCTAAAATGAATGACATATTCTAAGGAATTTATTGAAAAGCTCTCCTGCCTGCTAAATAAAAGAGAGTTTATATATGGAAGGCCCACTTATCTTCTGTGAAAATTCTCGTGCAACTAAATGAAACAGAAAATAGTTTCCAAAGTCTCCTTTGGAAAAACAACAAAGCTGTGTGTTTTCATTTTAAAGGTATGGAGTTTCAGGGGGATTCAGATAATTTTGGTCATTTTGAAATACTTAATGAAAATAATTTTCTTCGCCATCATGGAACATCATTTGGAAATACAAAGAGCTAGTGCAGGAAACATACAAAATGTACAATGTTTACTACTGTGTAAAGCAAAGTAAAACAGAACCAAATTATTAATCAGCATTTTCTACTTTAAATAAAACCCAGGAAGGTTTTAAACATCACCATGAGACATTTTAGCCCCAAGGATATTTATGGAAGGCAAATATAATGTTAGTCATCAAACAAATTTGTACTTTCAGTTTTTTCCGCCTTCAAGAGAAATGGAATTCTAGGTAAATTGTTCCATTTGGAAAGGGTCCTCAAATGTGGAGTTTTTCATGCTCACCGTATGGGGAAGACTTTCCACTGTACTTTTCAGTCCTCGTTGACTGCCTCCCCCACCCTCCCCTGAAGTTGCTACAAAGATTTTAAAGGCTGTTTTGTTGGCAGCCTAGGACGCATCTGTGACCTTACCAAAGTGGAAGTGAAAGCTCTTAGTTTTTCTTCTTTCTTCTTCTTTTTTTTTTTTGCAACAGTAAATCTACTAATTTTACAGTCAGTTGAACAGCAATGGATTAATTTGTTTAAAGTCTGCATTCACAAAGAGAACCTGAACTTCAGTAGCTTGAATGCCTGACATGGCAGCCTGGTGGTTGAAGGGTAGACACTCACAACTTGCTCTGGAAGGAGGCCGGCGGGCCACTGTCACCTGCTCCTCTGCACAGGTGCTGACCCCACGGTCGATTCCAGGCCTGCTGACGGGGTAGCAGGAAGGCTGGGCCTTTGTGTGCAACAGAGAAGGCTTTTCCAAGGCCTGAGCCGGCTGCCTCCAGCAGCCACAGGAAGCAGAAGAAAGAAGAGGTGAAAGGCCACGGTGAGGGTCAGAATGGGTTAACTTTAGTTAACATCAGAGGTTATAGCTTTTAACAAGCGCTTCGACAAACTTCTTCGAAGATGCAATTTGTTTCTTCTTTGTGAACCATTATTTTTTTTACCCTATTGATAGTGACAGCTTCACAAAGTTTTTATATCCTTCAGAGAATAAAGAATCATGTTCTTAAAAAGATGTGCAGGTGGAGGACTTTATAAAGCTTCCATGATTTTCAAATTGGGAGCTTTAAAATAGACTCCATGCTTGGCTAAGTCAAAAATAATGTGCGAAGGATGCTGAAAAAATCCCCATGCAGGGGCTCTAACTTCTGGAAGCTTCTTTGTGTAGTTCACTTTCAAACATTGTGGTGTAATTTTCCCATTCATTATTCAAAATTGCCAAAGAACCCTCTTCTTAAGTTTCCACACTTGGGTTTCTTTACATTCAGAGCATGATGCTGGGCAGAACCCAGTGTTGCATTTCAATGCTTGTTGCATTTCTGTGTAAGCAAACGAGATGGCCCCGGACTTCTGTGTATGTGTTTTGTGCTTTAACGCTGGTGTCACCCCATGTTTTCTCTTGAAGGACTAAACTCTGCTACATGGCCCAAACTGTCAAGGATTTTGAATTTGTAATTCTACTTTTTACAGATTTTCTTAGTCCTCTCTTGCCATTATACTGTCAGCCACCCGTTCTTGTTGCTATAATTGCCCACCCAGCTTTAAGAGTACTCCCCCACTTTTCAAGTTCTACTCAACGTCAAATTCAGTGTCACCTGGCCTGATGTAGAGGTTGAAGGGGGCTCTTAGCTTTTCACCTCACCTTACTCCAAATCAGCCCACACGCACAGCCAGGATAACCTTATTTAACTAGAGGACCGCCCTTCACACCATTTCCTTGCTAAAAAACTGGCGATTTCCACGGCCTGCCGCCTGCATTGCTTGTAATTTTCCACTGCAGTGTGTATGCCCCTCTGCAGCTCTCAGTAGCCTATTGTATTTGACAAGTCAGTCACTTTGCCTGTACCACCCTGGCCCCTTTCTCAGGCTGTGCCCCTGTTCCTGGGCCCTCGAAGGGGAGCCCTGCAATCCCAAGGTCCTGCCCCTGCGCCATCTTCCTGTTCACAGTTGGCTGGCCAGGGTGGGGGCCTCACCAACAGGAAGCCAGCCTGCAGGATGTAACAACTTGCAAACTTGAGATGGGAGCTTTGCTGGGTATCCAAGGGTACTTGTGGCAGAGATACTAATTGGACATGCACACTTCTCTTTGCCAGGTTTTAGCTGAGCACATAGCTTCCCAGAATAAAGACAGCATGTGCAGTCTCCCTAACAGATAAGTGTGGCCACATGACCAAGTTCTGGCCAATGAAATACATGTTTATACACGTAAGTGAATTATTCCAAGTAGGTTATGGGGGAATTTTAGTTTATACCTGTTATTCTGGTATAATTATTAATAGCATTCTCTTTCATTCTCACAAGGGTTCCAGTTCAGATGGCATTTACAGTCACCCTAAATGAGCAGATATGTGCACTTCCAGAAAGTTCCCTCAGAAGGAGAATTGCTCTCCTCCCCTTCTTCCACTCTGCTGACTGAAAGGTGGATGTGGCAGCTGGAGTTTGGATGGCGCCCTGGAGCATGAGAAGAAAATGGAGTGGAAACCATGCTCGGTAGGGAAATGAGGCCGGAGTGTGGGTCCTCACACCACCACCCACCATGCCCGCAGTTCTTGATTGTGAGAGAAAAACAAGCTTTTATTTTCAGCTGGACCTGCTCCTAACCAACAAAGTGCTTGAACTGAAAAGTCTTATAAAGTTGTTTATTTCGCAATGTAGGCAGTGCCACAGGCATCCTGGAGTTCACACCACGGAGATGCATCGGTCTGCAGGGGGAATGAAACAGATGTGCAGAAAGCACCACGCAGAAAGACAAGAGACCATGAGGCCCCGTGAGAAATGAGAGGGTAGGAGCCTTCATATCTAACTTTCTATTCCAGTTCCCGTGGGTCCTCTGGTCTTCATTTCCTGTCTTGAGGTACTGCTTGGGTAGATTTTCTTATGATAACTTAGTGTTCATTGCAACCACACGTCTTCAGAGCTTTAACCCTCTTTTTGCCCACTGCTCCTGAGCAGACAGATGACTACCTGCTGATTCCTAACCTCAGTGCATATTCGTGCCCCACATGCTGTGTGGAATCCAGAGCCATCTTTCAAGCTCTAGCTCAAGTACCACCTCTTCATGAAGCCTCCCCTTAGCCCGACTGATGAGTTTTTCTCGTCCTTGGACCCCTGTCATTTTACATATACTTGTTCTGTGTCATTTCTTTTTTTTTCCCATCTCCTAATCAAGTTACTTGAATATTTGGCATGTCCTGCCCTCTGCACTGTCAGCTCCTTAAAGGCACACTGCATTGCGCCTTTCCTGGTTTTGCGCTTTTCCTGGTATTGTGTCTTGTGTGTGGCCTCTAGCAGCCTGCCTGCAGCCTGCTTTGCCAACCTACAGTAAGTATTTGCTGAACAGTTGTGAGCTGTAAAATGCACAACTAAGCCTTTGCAAATGGTCTCTGAAACAAGAGAAAGCAGCCTTTCTTTGAATTAAGTGTGTGTACTTGGGTGCAGGACTTTGTGTCTTGTCGAGGCTTTCCTTTACTTTTATGACTCAGGGCTGAGAGTACTTAGTTGGAGCCCACTAGATATTTTGTTACAGTTTTAGGAGAAATCTTTCTAAGTCTCCAGGTCGGCATCTTTTGTTGAAACAATTTTCTATGCTAAGTAGCATGTTTACTACTATAGTAATTTACAATTACTGAATCAAAAGTACAGAAAGTCTGAGTGATTTATGAGAAATTAAAGAGAGTCTGTGTCTCATAAAGCAGCCATGACAAGCTCTTTGGGTTTCCTCGTATCGATTGCTATGCACGGGATCTCCACCTGCAGCCTGCACTCAGCTAACCTGCACCACGTCGTCAGAGGGACTAGTAAGTGACGACACGTGTATCACTGGATGACCTCTCTGCCTCTACGACAGAAAGTTCACACAGCACAGTAGAAAACCCAGTCCAAACACTTCTTTAATTTTTTGTACATGATTGATTGATTTTTGTGACTGACTTGGTCAAATGTTTTGGTTTTAATACTCATTGTGAAAAAAAAACCAAAAAACCCAGACATCGTAAAATGTAAAACAGATCTCTGTGTGATTATAGCTGCAACTTTAAATTAGTACTATGAGAGCAAGTAACAGAGTGACGTGGGCTAGTGGAGGGAAACCATGTGTGCCTTCTGCCATGACGCGTTATTTATAGACTATAATTGGTAGCTGTTGGCAACTAATAGTGTCCTCCTTCACACTCAACCATCACGTGATGCACTAGTGTGGGTAGGTTTTTATATTAATAATTTAGTCATAAAAGTTGCCACTGATTGTGCTTATTTAATTTTATTTATTATGAATTGGAAGGGATTTGAAGTTATTCTTTATATAATTGGCCTCTAGCTCACTTGCTTTCTTGGATGGGGACCAAGCTGCTGAGTGACAGCTCGCATGACAGGGGCTGCACTTCACTCAAGATCGGGTTATGCCAGGCCATCGCGAGTGTGGCCAGAGGGCTCACTAGTGAACTTCGTCAGGCAAAGGCAACAGCGTAGATGAAAGGACAAAACGCAGAAACGCATTTCTACTGTTACTGTAACAAAGCTGGAGAGGGAAAACAGGACAAGGGAGAGCTCTGCCTCTGGGGAGAGGTCTGGAGAGCCACGTGGCTGACCGCCGCTGCCCGGCGAGGCTCACCATGGGCGTGCAGACCCGGAGCCAGCGGCAGGGCAGCTGGTTTGGCCGCCGCGTGTCTTTGGTGAAGGTGCTCTCTGTAAACCTGTTTCATCACCTGTTACTCAGGGGTAATAAAAACTTATTCCACGTGATCCTGTTAGCATTTAAAAAATACACAGAGACGTACAAACACACTCAGTTCGTGGTGCACGGAAGTGCTCCAAAAATGTTAGCTCTTCAAGTTATCAACAGCAGACGTGACCGTGACAGTGTGTGTCACCACGGAAAGGACACAGGCAAGCCTTGTAGGAGCAACAGTCAGTCAGATCGGGTTGGCTGAAGTTTCCCTGATTTTAAACTAATCACTTTCTGTAACTTTTTATTTTCTTACTTGTAATGTGATTTAAAACTGGGTTATAAAAGGAATCTTCCTTATTTTCTGTTACTTTAATTCATTTTTCTTAATACCTTTAGCCTGTTATAGCATTGCTTAATTTTCCTAGGCTTCTTTGATGGAATGAATCATTTGTTTACAAGTAGCCTATGGATATGTATACATTGTTTAGTTACTACCTTTTTAAGGAAACTGAGTAGTTGAATTTAAAATAGAAGTGTGGTGACCATAAAAGGATTAATAAAAAGTTTTGAATGATGGATTGATTTAAAGATTTTAAAATTGTAGGAGAAATACAAATCAAAATCACAGTAAGATTCCAATTCAGACTCGCTGGGATGGCTAGAATCAACAAGAAAGACAATACCAAGTGTTGGCAAGGATGTGTAGAAATTGATAGCCTTCTAAATTGCTGATGGGATTTAAAATGGTTCAATTATTTTGAAAAAAAGTTTGGCAGTTTCTTTAAATGTTCATAGACTTACCATATACCCCAGAAATCTCACTCTTAGGTATCTAGCCAGGACACATGAAAATGCGTGTACACACCAAAACTTGTACATGAATGTTCATAGCAGCATTATTTACATTAGCCAAAAAGGAGAGGGGGCCAAATGTCCATCCACCGATGCCCGGAGGAACATAATGGGCGTGCCTGTGCAGCAGGACGCCATCTGGCCGCGGAGCAGAAGGAAGCACTGATGTGTGGGCACCCCCAGAAATGTGGTCAGTGACAGAAGCCCATCACAGAGGAGCATTCACTGTGGTGAATGCGGAGAGACAAACAGTAGATTCGTGGTTGCCTAGAGCAGAGAGTGGGAATGGGGAACGACTGTAAATAGAAGAGTGTTTTTAGGGTGACGAAAGTGTCCTAAAATTAGATTGTAGTGATGGTTGCACAACTCCATAAATTTATAAAATGTTGAATTCTAGACTTAAAATAAGTTTTTATGGTATATAAATTTTATAGTATGTATTGATATTATATATTAATAGGCTATTTAAAAATCAAAGGAAACATGATGTTAATAAAGTAATTAAAACATTTGTGGGAAAATCTTATTATATGAATAAGATTATAATTTTACCAAATTTCTATTCTTTTTGTTAAAGATTGTATGTATTTAAAAAAAATTTTTATTATTATTTGTTTTTAGCATGGGAAGGGAGGGAGAAAGAGAGAGAGAAACATCAATCAATGTGTGGTTGCTGGGGGCCGTGGCCTGCAACCCAGGCATGTGCCTGACTGGGAATCGAACCTGCGACACTTTGGTTCACAGCCCACGCTCAATCCACTGAGCTATGCCAGCCAGGGCCAGATTGTATGTATTTTTTAGAGAGAGGGGAAGGGAGGGAGAAAGAAAGAGAGAAATATCAATATGCAAAAAACCATCAATAGGTTGTCTCTCACACACCCCCAGCTGGGAGCCTGGCCCACAGCCCAGGTACGTGCCCTGACCGGGAATTGAACCATCAACCTTTTGGTTTGCAGGCCAGCACTCAATCCACTGAACCACACCAGCCAGGGCTAAATTTCTATTCTTAGTATTGCATCTATTTTATCTCAATGACCTGTAATATGGTCATTAGGATGTTAAATATGAATAATGTTTTTATTTTGCTAAAATTTTATTATGCAAAAAAGCAGTTTATACTTATTTCAGTTTGTGCGGGGTTAGATCAGAATATGTTTCCTCAGGGAGTCGGTGTCCTGTGGGACTCTGAGCGCTCAGATCCTACACCTTTGCCTTGGCAATTTAAAAATATAGTTGAATTGTCATGGAGTTTATGTTTTAAAGTTGTCATAATTTTAAGGTACCATTTTGGTTACAACTGATAGAATATTGTATAAAATGAAAATTAAAACAGCTAAGTATTGCATTAGGTTGTATATAAGTCAGTTTCAGATGTTTTATAAATTCAGCCTGTGCATAAATTGAATTTCTTTTATAAATTCACATGTATAAACAGTGAAGTTTATTGTTCCATAAGATTTTATATTTCTTCTTTTTTTCAAACGTCTAAAATATTTTCACGAGAGGAGGATGTGCCAGAGATGATCCTTCACCTCCAAAGTGCTTTTGCATCACGTGCTCTGGGGGGGGCTGGATCAGGACATGACCACTGCAGATTACATGAGAACATCGACTCTGTCATTGTTAGACTCTTTCGTGAAGAAAATCTCATCTCCCTGGTTTAAGGGTTGACAGGGTAATGCTACTCCTGAATCATCCTTACATGCCCTGAAAATGCTTTGCTGAACAGGAGTCAGGCTTTCGAGGAGTTCTGGTGAATTTTGTCCCTAACTCCATGACAAATGACCCATGAGCTTCCTAAGGGACAGCACCCTCAACCATTGGGAGCGACAGACCTGCACAGGAGAGGCACTGACAGCAGAAGGGGTTTGTGAGCCAAGCACCAACAGTTAGACAAGGGCCCCGGACAAAGTGAGCACACAGGAGTCACGTAACCCTGGAAAGCAACGTGCCAAAGAACAACCCCGAGTTGGCGCTGCACCTGACTTGGGCCAGAGGGGTGTGGCTGGTGGCAGCACTGGGCACTGTGCTGCATTTGCCTGCGGTCTAGTTTTTAGCTTCAGCACCTTCTTAGAAATGATACTGTAGCCACAAACCCGGATGACCCAGCCATGCATACATATCAGGAGGGCACAGGCGGCAGCAAATCCTGGTGCTCAGGCAGCAAGCACTGCCTGTCACTTCCCAGCCTGGCTCCCCTTCTGGCAGCCCCAGAGCTGCTTCCGCCACAGGCCTTTGGGCTTCTTCTGCCTCCGAGACGAGGACTGTGACCGACACGCTGTGTGAATTCATTGTTGAGCTTCATTTTCACAGATACCTCCTCTCTGGTCTCTCCGATGGAGGGATTCTATCTTGTTTTTGAGAAAGAGGATTGTGGGTCAGAAAACAT